TTCACGATGTACGACAAAGGCACATTGATCCCAAAAACTCACTCTTCAACACGTTGTGCTCAGGTGAGCTGGAAGTCTAAATTGTCTACTATTCTTGACTGGGCATATTGAGGTCGATTTTAATGGAGCAAAACAATATACAAAACAAAAACAAACGGTTGTATTCATTTTCAAAACTTTTGGGGGAAATCCTTATGAATTATTGATTATTATCTTAAGTGTGGCTACGTGTAAAACAGTTGTAGGGGGTAAAAAAAAGTATAATTTACAGAACTCGATATATATATAATATATTAAAGTACTTTTTAGACACCTGTTTGACAGTTGAAGAAAGGAGAGAGAGAAATGAAGTAAAAAATAAAAAATGTACTTTCGTCTTTATGAAGTTAAATAAACAAATTGGGTTTATATTTGGTTATTTTTAAAAGGGACAAACTTTGCCTTTTATCCGAATTGAAGATAGGTAGATAGTTTTTGCAATGTTTTAAACATAGAGCTCTGTTTGTTTTGTAGTAAAGAAACTAGTTGATTTAAAAAGAATAAATATTTAAAAAGAAAAACAGTATGTTTATTATAGAATGATGGCCATCTATTTAAGTGTAGCATCAGTTCAACTTGGTGATTTATAAAAAAACTAATTATAAATTGTTTTATCGTCGCTTAATTAAACAAGAGGGCAATGATAAGGTAATTATATCGCTCACATGATTATGAAGGCTCAACTCCAATTTCCAGGATATTTGGACTGGAACAGTATCACTTAGAGTGTTAACAATGTTTTGTCCATATTTGTGGACCGTGTTACCTAGTTTTTGACCCCAGTGACCAATATTCAAACTTGATCTTTAAATGATCATAACAACCTTTCTGGCCAATTTCCATGAAAATTGGCCATGGTTTGAAACATTTATGTTTCCTAAACTGTTCATAATGTTGTTTTCTTTTTCAAATTTTTGGGAGGGGGGGGGCGTTTACCTAGGTTTTTAACCATCAGTAAACAGACAGCTTTCGTGTTTTTTGATTTTCGTTGAAATGATTTCTTTTAATTTTAATAAGATGCTTATATTCCCTCTTTAATGTTTCAATAATGTTATTGATTATGGTGACAAACAGACACGTTCCGTGGTACTCACACAAATGTCAATTTAAACCAAGTTATTTTAGTAATAATTGTTATTTATTTAATCTCTGTGCATTAAATGCCGTTGATCATCATAAAAAATAACATATTTTGAAAAAATGCCTTGTAAATGATTGATTTTGAATAAAAATCCTAAAATTTGAAATCGTCATATCAAAGTCATTATTTATTTTTTTGTCATCAACCTTTGGAAAATAAACCATACTTATATTATTGGGAACCGTTCTCAATTTTTTCTATCTTTTCTCAAAAAAAAATATTACGTAACGTCAAAACCATTTATGCGACTTTTTTGTCACCATACATATTAACTAATTAAAGATAATTAAATCTAAGACTGATTGATAATTAAGTCGCTGATTAAGCAAACAAAAAATCCCTGACACGGTTCCCCTCCGTAATGAATTTCCTTTTTCATGTGCTTTGAATTTATTTTACTTCTTTTTTTTTTTTTTTTTCCTTTTTACTTTTCTTAAAACCGCATGTTAATTGCTTGATTATTAAAAATGTTATGCCGATTCAAAGTTAGTCCGACCGCATCAAACGAAGTGTCGTAAATCGGCTGTTCTCTTTCGGACCCCTACGTTCACGCTAAATAATCGCACTAATACACAAATATCGCACCAGAGAGGGTCACAAGTTGCGGTACATACTCTAACAACATTTTATGACCCAGTGACATCTGACCAATTAAAAAGCTGCTGATTAATATAACAGTTTATAAGCCGAAATTTCTTCAGTTCTTTAACGTGATTTACTGGTCCGTCTGGTATCCTGTCGCACATGTCACGTGACCTATCGGTAAAGTTGAGGCAATCAGTTGGGGAAATGGAACGCAATTGCGCACCGCTAGCGGGGTATTTAATTGTTTCCTTTTGAAGTTTATTATTACATGTATTATTATCATCAAGCATTATTATTGTATTATACCAGTGTCACTTCTGCCTGTGTATTCGTGTATGAAATTCCGTTAAAATATAAAATAAAATAACAAAAAACTGAGCTTCTGACAGTCTTTTAAAGTCCATGGTAGATGTACAAATAAGAACGGGATATTATATATTTTTTCCACCAAATTGATAATGCTTCACATATTTTTAATAGAAAATAAAAGGTATTACTCGATCATTATGATCTGGCCTTCTTGATTTCTATTATTATGAATATCATCTATGCACGGGCATAGAGAATCCAGTTTCTGCCGGGATAGACAATAAATTTCATACTTTGTCCAGCGCAGAATTTATTTAGTACTGGTGTCCGATTTACTGGGCGAACAATTTATTTTCACAAAGAATAGTATTTAATATCTTTTTTTTTTGTATTCATAGAGAAATAATCATCCTTAGACAATCTTAAAATGGTTTAGAAATTTGTCAGGGGACACCTTACCACAAGTCATATAGGCGTTAACATAAAAAATGTTGTCTGTTTTTTTGTTGTTGTTTTACTTGACATTGTTTTAGAAAAAACGAGGTTGAATGTAAGTAAGCCCTTGAATCCGTACAAAAAGTCCATAAACTCAATGTAATATCTTATCAGATTAAACGGAACAGACAAATTATTTTCACAACATTAGGATATTTTAAGCAACTACATTTTAATCAACCCCGTGGTCGTGCGATTTTGCCGCTATGCTTAATTATTTATGTTTCATACATTATGTTACGTACATTGCCCGACAATTTCTTAATTTATAAAAAAGGCTAATTGTTGAGATTTTCATAAAAGATGTACGGTGAATGTACGATACATGTATTACGAGAAGTATGGACCAGTATGGACCTGTAATTCACGGATATATGGAACTACCGATTTCCCTCATTGTGCCTCAACAGGGGCGGAGCGTTATCGATAATCGACAGGTTACGCGAATAGGCAGATACAAATAGTATTGGTACCGTTTTAAAACGTTTAAAAACACATTTTTTCGGACTAACTGCTTTCCAAAATTAAATCACGAATGTGTTCAGAAAAAGGTTGATAAATCTACTTAGCAAAAAATCTGATTTTAGGTATTTTCAGTGATAATTGACTCCGTTGTCACCTTAAATCGAATTGTTTTTGATAAAGCAAAATAATTTGTGTATTTATTAATTAGCTTTTTAAGTGTTTTTGGAATAATTTTTCAAAAGTGGGGAGTCTATGTTCGATTTGTTGTGGACTTTAAACCACTTGCCTATCATCACTTTGGGTTCGAATCCCACAAGAGACATTGGATTTTCTTCATGTGAGAAATCTATCCAACTTTAAACTGAGGGAACGTCAGTGTATCTACTAAGGTGTCCGTTGTGTCTGAAATAATGCACGGTGGATATCTGAGGTCTTCTGTAACCAGTAAAGTTGAAAGTCGCCATATGACTTACACCTGTGTTGGTGCGACATAAAATCCAAACCAAGGTAAAATTGTGTAAATAAAACAAAAAGAACCAAATATTCTGTGCCTGTACATATATCGTAAGCAATATGCAACCAAAAATTTAAGTCGTTGAATACACAGTTGCATATATACAGTTGGGTAGGGGTGGGAGGGGTAACGATATTACACAAATCAATTCTGTACATTTTTTAATGTGAAAAATATATATTCGGTAACAATTCTATTCCTATGTCAACAAACAAAACATAGTGCACTTTGTACCCACTTAAATCTCACAATATGAAACAATTACATTATAACAATGTTTCTCTACAATGCCTGAACTTTATAAATTGCATAAACATTTTGTAAACGTAATACATTTTCTACATAGGTATAATTAAAAATTATATATATTGAATGTATTATATATTCAGACTTTACAATATTAAAATCATAAAAACCATATTTATATCAGAATACAAAGTATTTTCAACGTAATAACACGTAGCCTTTTTCAGTCAATCTCCATAATTGATAAACAAAAATTACAAAAATAGTAATATATGACTGATACATGTACATGTAAACAACATTACAAAGTTTTCACTGTGATGTTTTCAGTAAAATTTGTCGGTTCATCAATGAGTTCCATAGTCGTTAACTCAACAGAGTGAAGCTATATTTAAATTTGCATAACAATTTTGGGTATTTGAATGAATATATTGGAAAAAAATAGTATCGATAGCCAGAGAAAATGAGTCGTCTATTAAGATATTGTCAACTGAGTCAGCATTAGGTGGCATACACAAATTGCTATTTAAGAATCTTTTGTTTTGTAACGCAATGTAACCTCAAACCATATTATTCAAAATTATTTATTTCAAGATAACCCCTCTGTTAAAACTGAAGTTGGTTTTTTAACATAGATAATTACAACTCAATAATTGTATCCGTGTTTGTCTTTACGAAGAGGCGAGTGAAATGTAGAAATTCACAGAATTTCTCAGTTTTCTTTGTAAACAGATTCGCTTTCCGAATTCGAAACAACTCAATAGACAATAATACAATCTCTTGATTTGAATGCTTTGAACATTATTTTATACAAAAGACAGGTGATTGTTAGGTAAAGGATCAAAAAGAGAAGATAAAACACAGGCAATCTAGCTGTATTGACTCTAGAGTTCTTGTGAGCATCGTCACAATTTTGAAATAGGTGTGTGTTTTAAAACTCAAATAAACAAATTCATAACGCTACTTGCATTGAAGGCTGACGATATCTTTAGCTTTATTTAAAACCGTTTTGTGATATCTATAAAGTTATTGTCACTTTATTACAGGTAGGTCAATGTTCAGACGCAAATACCTAGTTTCAATGTCGAATTTTGGAAACAAACTTAATTGAACTGTAAATGAAACTTATCAATAGGACATACATTTTTTTAAATGGGGCTTTATATATGTATAAGTGATTTAGAGAGGAGAGAAAAGAGCAAAAATATAAAAAAATGGTAGATAAATAAGAGTACAAATATTGTAGTAAAGCGAAATTTCAAGCTGGTCAAACATATCACAAGTTGTGGTAAACAAATTATCAATATATATTTACTCAAAACCGTATTTACTCAACCCTTTCACACACGCGCGCGCCCACACACTCATACACATGCACACAAACACAGAGTCGTATGCATATTCTTTAATACAGTAAATGTACATGAAAAAAACCCCAGAAGATATCCACAATTGCGCGCATGCACGCACGCATATTCATAATTACTTATATGCATAGTGTCAAGTTTACATACCAAAACTGTATATGTACATGTTTATATATAAAATATTTACATAAGTGTATACACTGTTTCATGTCATCCTGGTCAAATAAACAAGCAGCACACGAAATCTTTGTTTTTAAAATGAGTATAATATGAGATTATATAATACAATGATATATATATAATATACAAATATGTACTTTGTAAGGTGACAACAGACACTTTCCATGGTACTCACACAAATGTCATTTAAACCAACTTATTTTAATAATAATTGTTATTTATCTAATCTTTGTGCATTAAATGTCGTTGACCATCATAAAAAATAACATATTTGAAAAAATTGCATTGTAAATGATTGATTTTGAATAAAAATCCTAAAATTTTAAATCCTTATATCAAAGTCATTTTTTTATTTTTTTGTCATCAAACTTTTGGTATATTAACATACTTATAATATCTGGGGAACCGTGTCTCATATTTTTTCTATATTTTCTCAAAAAAATATTACGTAACGTCAAACATTTTATGCGACTTTTTTCACCATACATACTACGTAATGAAAGATAATTAAGTCGCTAATTGAGCAAACAAAAATCCCTGACACGGTTCCCTCTGTAAATGAATTCCCTTTCATGTGATTCAAACCGCATGTTAATTGCTTGATTATTAAAAAAGTTATGCCGATTAAAAGTTAGTCCGACCCGCATCAAACGAAGTGTCATAAATCGGCTGTTCTCTCACGGACCCCTACTTTTCACGCTTATTAATTGCATAACACACAAATATCGCACTAGAGAGGGTCACAATTTGCCTTTAACATGCTCTAACAACATTTTATGACCCAGTGACATCTGACCAATTAAAAAGCTGCTGATTAAAATCAGTTTATATATCAAATCTTAACGTGATTTACTTGCGAACAATTTATTCAAAGCATTCACTGATAATATATTTTAATATCTTTTTTATTGATTCATAGAGAAATAATCATCCTTAGGCAATCATAAAAATGGTTTAGAAATTTGTCAGGGACCCCTTACCACAAAATAGAGAGAAATAAGAAGTCATATAGGCGTTCACATAAAAAATGTTGTTTTTTGTTGTTGTTTTACTTGACATTGTTAGATACGAGGTTGAATGTAAAGCAAGCCCTTGAATCCGTACAAAAGTCCATAAACTCAATGTAATATCAATCAGATTAACGGGACAAACAAATTATTATTTCACACATTATGGATATTTTAGCAGTCAATCCGTGGTCGTGCGATTTTCCGCTATGCTTAATTATTTATGTTACATACTTTATGTTACGTACATTGGTCGACAATTTCATAATTTATAAAAAAAGGCTAAATAAAAGGTAGACAATAAATGTCGAGATATTCATAAAAGATGTTCAGTATTTGTACGATACATGTATTACGAGTATTATGGAGCGGTAATTCACGGATATATGGAACAACCGATTTCCCTCATTGATGCCTAAACAGGGGGCGGAGCGCTATCGATAATTGACAGGTTACGCGAATAGCAGATAAAAAAGGGTATAGGTACCGTTTAAAAACGTTTTAAAACACATTTTTCGGACTAACTGCTTCCAAAATTAAATCACGAATGTGCTCAGAAAAGGTTAATAAATCTACCAAGCAAAAATCTCGTTTTATGTATTTTCAGTGATAATTGACTCCGCTGTCACCTTAAGCTGTTGAAAATGATGTGATATTTACTGAAAAAAATGATATTGACCTCGGCTGTCACCTCAGTTAATATTAATATTTTCAGTACATTTTCAACAGCTAAAAAGTCCATATTTGTATATAATCAAACATGTTACATATTATTCAACACCAAAACAAAAAAACTTTTAAAAATTACACATCATCAAAATGTTCTGTAAATATAACACGTAAACATATAAACATATTACATATTACACCAGTTGCACATATGATCAACATGACCAACATATGACATAAGAACATACTACAACATACACAATATAAGATCATCATAACACAACCAGTATTGCATGTCCACTATATAATATCATCAATATGGTATACATATGACATGGCATCATACTAAGACAATCATCATTGCATATCCATTATATAACATCATCAACATGTCATTTTTATGGCATGACACCATATAACCACAACCAGCATTGCATGCCCGCTATATGATATCATCAACAAAAGATTTTCTACACAAGGGCTCGAAAAAAGAAAACGCTGTTTTGAATTTATACCAACACAATTTGTTGTTGTAAGATTTGTTTTTTTTATCACATTCCTGAACAAGAAATTGAGTTTACAGTTTGAGCTACATGTTTTATAATTTTTTTCCGTGGAAGAACTAATGAAAAATAAGTTAAAAAACCTATACAGACTGCGTTGTAACTATGTTATATTATAACGGATGACCGTACCAGAGGCATGTGCTGTCAAGAGGGCGTTAGCTGTATATATGTATCATTTAACAAAAGTTGAGATTACACTTAAATCACGCACATATGAATACAATACCGTCATAAATAGTTCTTCCCTCTGAAAAACCTTTGCAAACGCGCAATTATGTCTCCTTTTTCTTCGAAAAGGAAACCAGTAATGGAAATCTATTAACCCAGGCTTCCATAACCTGTTCCAATGTTTTGCATTCATCATCTGCTTCTTGATCATTCCTAAATATGTCCTTTTCTATTTTGACCTCGTGTGTTTCTGTATCAACTGAAAGTAATAGTCATACTTATTTTCAGAAAAATTACTACTTTTCTAGACAGAATTCATGGACAAAAAAGGTGAATATCAAGTACCGGTAGAAACGTTTTTATATAACATTCTAATAGTATAACAAATATTAATTAGGTTCTAAATATTAAAGCTTTTATTTTTAAATTAAATGCATATTCTTCACATTTGCTTTAGAGTGACAGTTTGACATTAAACCTCACAATAATTATGTTTCGACAATTAAATTCTTTTTTTGCGACAATCGAATTCAACATTTTCAACAATTTTAGGAAGTAAATTTTATTTGAAAGTATTTTTCATAACAGCCAATACAGCTATTTTGTCTCTTATGCTTAAATGTGAATTTGTCTATAATGTAAGGTGTGAAATATAATAAAAGTAACGTTGATTGTATGTATTTTTTCACACCTAACAAAATATAACCAATGGACTGTCAGCATTTGCACCTCGTAATGTTCAAATAGAAAATAACATTGGATCCAATTTTTTTCAATTTAGCCTCGTTGTCAATATCAAATCCATATCATACCCCATATGATACCATTTTCATTTCATGAGTCCAAAAAATTCATATATGTTCAGAACACATATCAAATTATTTCTATTTATTGAAGAAACAAAGTTCTGTCAATATGTCAAAACGGTAATGCGGAATAAAGAGGTCATTAAACATTTTTGACAATATTATTTCTACTGGCTCGTACACAGCTGCAAATATAATATCAGACTTGGCTAGCGCCTTGTCAAAAATAGCTATGACATATGTGTACTCGTAAAAAGAGTTCAGTGTTGTACTCATGTACAAATGTAGGATAACCTCATAATATCAGACATTTGATGCATAACAACAAAAACGATAGTATTATGCATGATGTTGGCAAGTGTGAGATATATATTTCGATATTACGTATATTTATATAGCAGACAATAAAATATTCGGTTACAAAACATAAATATTAAAGTGACATAATGTCCATCCAATGATAAATGGTCTGAGAACAGGTTAAAATCATAATAACATGACATTTTTTCATTATTGGTTCAATCTTATATTTTACTGAGGAAATATAATCAATAATCCACATGACCAACGGAAATGCCTATACATATCCTTTAGAATGTCCCTGATAGGTGCAATTCTTAAAAAGTTTGGGGCCGTCTTTTTATATTTTAGATCGTCCATATAGTGTATCATAAATATCTATTTTTTTCTTTATCCATTATTGGTCAATCATCCTTTTAAAAGTCAATCTTTTGAAATACTAGTTTATCACTTATGCAACTCAACTTGACAGTGAAAAAATGAGCATAATGTCACTTTAATCATAATTATCAATGTTCATACTATATTACTTTTTTCAGTCAGTAGTATATGGGAATATCCAGATATTACATTTCTGTTGATCTTATTAATATTTTAAATACGTATTGAAAATATGTCAATGGTAAAACAATTACATTTTATGAAAACGTGTCCATTGTAGACCAATCCACTCAAATACAATTAAGGTATAAAATAAAAACTTTGGTTGTACATTTATTTACCTTTGAATGCCTTAAGAAGCATAAGTTTGACCTCATTAATGTTTTTCAGATATTCAAGTGGAAGACGAATTGGTGTTTTTCCATCTTTTGAAGAAAATTCTATATGAACCACATCTTCTGTAAAAAAAGCAATGTCATCCCAAGTACTTTTTAGATGCCTATTTGGAGGAGGTGCCTTATGTTTTAAGTGTTTGTTAACGTAATCAAATAAGCTATCAATGGATATGTATTCTGTCCTCTTGTCCCAATAGGATAAACAATGCTGGCAATTCTCAGAACATTCTCTTTTCTCTGATCTAGCTTTTAATCCTTGAATAACATACGTTGTAAATAAACTGCCTTCATCTTTTAAAATTGCCTTTTTATCCTCGCTGCATGCATTCATCTGAACGAATTTTCTCTGTTTATCTTCAAATTCTACCATTGGGGGAAAACAACGGTCAAGAAATAGAATCAGTTTATCAATTTTGTTCAATGTTTGTAACTGTTCTTCAAAGGCATTTAATGATATCAACTCTGATGATTTCCCAAGCTGAAACATGTTTGTTTCGGAATACTCATTTAGCCCCCCGTCATCTCCATGGCACGAAATGTATATCAATAATGTATCGATATCATCATTTTTAGCAAAGTATGCAATATGCTCCTGAATTTTCGTCCATGTTGGCGTTTCTTCCTTTCTGGTGTCTGCCTTTGTATCGACCGGTACAACTGTCCTCACGTTACATTTACTATAGTAAATAATTGTATTATGATTTATTTTATCCCAAATGACAAAATTAATATATTTTTTTCTTTTTTTTTATAATTGATATTTATATATCTTACCAATACATGTTAGCATACATAAAACACTGTCTTGTTATGAGAAAAACGTTAAACTATAGTTTTACCGGAGTAGTCTATAGCAAAAATAAATTTTGTAATCCCTTAATGGATAGCTCAAAATAGAGATAATGGACAAAGCTATTTAACGAATCTAACAAGGTTAATCGCTCAAAATGTTAAATGCTAGTTTACCTTATACCAATAATGCGTGGTGCCTTTGAGGTAACTACTCTCTCTAACTCAAGTATTTCTCTCTTCATGGCTGCTGCTTTGTCAGGATTTTCATCATCACCCGCAATAAGTAATGCTCCCCATTTACTGCCTTTGATATATAAAAGAGAAATGTTCGAAGATTCATTATGGTTTATCAAGAGTATCGAAAGTCGAACTAAGCGGGAACTAAGTATAATCAGGCATATATATAACAGACATAAAGCAGATTTATTATGATCTGAACGACCCTCATACAACACAAAAAGCATTTTGATGCTTAGGTCCGCTAGAATACGTTTCAAACCAAAACGTTATTTTTAAAATGATCTGAAACTCCGACATCCGGCTGCGGATGAAAGATTATGTGCAAATATAACCTATCATGTTTATATGATTACTTATTTAACGTATTATTACACATCGATTAGGCAGCTTTGTAGGTCATATGGGGCATTAATGTACATCGATTTTAACAAAAGTGTCACCTATAATTATATTTTGCCGTCATATTGAAGTCTAAAACTGAAAACAATAACCATAACCAGTATCATTAAATATAAATATATATAATTATTTATGCACATCTGTTATGACTGATATCCCCCTTGTGGCTGAAAATTTGCTCTTAAGGGTGTAAGCATCAGAATTGCCGCCACAGTTGATCTCTGCGTGATCTTAAGAGGCGACTAATTGGTATAAGACATCTCTTAGCTCCAGCAGATTAGTTGCTTTTGGCTCCTGATGTTGCTTTAAGATTTAACACCCGCTGTTGGCTAAAGTCATCTTATCTGTTTATTGCGTCATTAGACCATAATTGCGATTGTGAGCCGAAAAAACAAACAAATGAATGATATAAATATTTTCATCGGGAAAGACTTATTCATTAAAGTTTTGTTAATTTTGATTGTTTTTTAGCTTTACTGTTTAAGGTGTCACTACAGGTGTCCCTTCATCCAGAATGTTACACATGCACAGGAACTGGAGTAGAAAAACTGACATTCCGTTATTTACCTGTATAGCTTCCTTGAATAAATAATCTTAAGTCAAATTGGTTAGAACCCATTGTGGTTTTGTAAGTGATTTGAAGTCAATGACCTTAACGACAAAGCCACGGCGGCCCTCGTTTTTTAAGATTTTCGACAGCAAAGAACATTCGGCAGCCAAAAAGGTATTGTTACAGCAACTAAAAACAATTGCTCTGTATTTAACAGAAAGTTTTTTCATTTGTAATTTGCATTTGTTATTTGTATACATTATTGGGCGATTTAGATAACAATTATGAAATAAATAAATTAATTAATTAATAAATTACAAAAATATGCATATACATGAACTCGTATAATCATACCTATCACAGATTTCAATGTCGCTCCACAATAACATGTTACTGGATTTAGAATACTATTTTTCTCGCAGGCAATACAGACTTGTATCTTCTGATTGCAGTTGGCATAATGATTATCGGTCAACGAAGAATTTTTAGCTGAAAGTACAAAAGTTTATATAGGACAGCAAGACTAGTGCTTATGTAAAACTAAAGCGAATTGATGTTTTGTCTCCATAAATATAGATGCTGTATATGCTAGATAAACGATAATGCACATTTGTTCATCTTCACGAGTCCTTTGAAACTTGTATCATTTAAATGTTAAGCCCTCTTCAAAACAGCGGCCCGAGAGTTATTTATAGCGCGCAAGGGACGTCCGTTTCTAACAAAGAAGATAGAGAAACGAATCGGCGTTTCATTAATATACATAAAGTGGACCGTTCGAGGGGTTTTATCATTTTTGTATTTGATCAATGCCAAATTTCATTTACCGCAATAACTCTTTTGATTTGACAATTATATGACTGGTCATGTAACCTTTATATACACCTTCACGTTGTAATATGTCTTAAATCACTATTAGTTTTATAGCAATTATAAATAAATTAAAAAAATCCCGTCTGACAGACATTTCATTGTGCCATGATAACTGCACAATTGTAAAAAATAATAAGTGGGCATACCTTAAAAATACCGAGAGTTATGGGTCTAGTCATTTTCACTTGAACATTCACTTGTTTTTTTTTTAGTTCAGATCTATAATTGGCACATTTCAATGTGATTTACTTAATAAATGGTCTTCATTGTTTTCACGTAATTGTTTATTTTCCCTTTTTATCATGGCATTGTTTCATTGCAATCATTCGGCTGAAATCCAAACGTAGAAGGTTAAGCAAAAAATGAATGCAAACTTTTAAAGCGGACACTCCACCTCTGAAATGCTGAATAAGTAATAGTTCTGGTTGTTAAAGATAAAGCGATGCATAATTTCCATCTCGCTACGTAATCTGCTGTAGTCAAATAATCAATATTATTTTACAATAGATTAAGCGCTTGAATTTGGTTTGCAAATCATGGTCTTGCAATTACATAATAAGGTAAAGAAGCAGACGCTTTTTTGGTTGGGTCTATTATGTTTTGTTTAGGGGGGGGGGGTTGTCATACACACATTTTAATTGATATGCATTTATTTTTTTTCCAACGATTTTAATTATTTTAAAATGTTTTATGCATCATTTGTTAATAAAATTGTCCGATAAAAGGTAAAATTTTAATAAAAATGAAAATAATTCACACCTTTATGTGTATTGATCACGTGACGGTTTAAGCCAATGAAAAAACATCAACATACGGACAGGCAGAGAAAAGGTTCGAAAAAAAAAAAAAATCGATAATCATTATGTAGCAAACAGACATTTAATTGCAAGTTTTAATTTCATATTATTTTTTCGGCAGAAGAAACTGTCCGAAAAGGGTCAGGCATTGTCGTAACGAAAAATGGCTGCCGTTTACAGTAGCACGTGCTTATCCAAAACACCACCGCGACTTAGCGCGGGAATAATAACTATAGTTAACCTGGGCGCGTCGTATAGGATGAAAAAAGTTTTTTTATATAAATTGTATTTTAAATGTCTTTAGGTTTTATTGGATCAATCAATAACATATATTGATGCTTTTGTAAATAGATACTCATATTAGTCCGATTAAAGTAAATTTTAGCGTCAAACAAATTGCAACACAAGCTTTTTTTTTACAGTTTTGGTCCGATGTACACATCATATAAAACAGGTAAAAACCCTAAAAAATCTAACCTTGGCAAACCAGAGAAAAAAGCAATTCAAAATATGCATTTTTTCGAGTTTTTATATGGCTCTGCTTGTACACCATACACAGAGTTTTATGCTGTAACCGGTGTCGAGGTAATTGTTATGATTACGACAAGAAGAGAAAACTGCAAGAGACCATTATATTATTAGAAGTTCAGAAACAAGAAAAAATGTTGAACGTATATTTATTTAAGACAAGTTGCAGAAAGAACATAAACTTTGTGGCGATGTTGTCAGTAAAGTTGAAACCTTCGACTTTCATGTTTAAATCAAGTCTTTGTGTAAAACAAAATACTTTAAGAGTGAAGTGAAGACCTAGGAAGAATTAAAGGCGTAAATGTCCTCCTGTCAGCTAAAATACGTTACCACCATTGTTATAACAGTAACAGTTGAACATTTCAAGACATTCTTTTCATGAAAAGTGCAAACACACGACTTGCGAATCTAGTGAAAAAGACCAACAGCAGTTTTGGAGAAAGCTTTTTAACCACGATGCAATACTTTTGAAAGTTATTAAAAGGACAATTTCTTTTAATGTGACTAGGTGTAGTCGAACTAATGAGCATTATGAGAGACATAGAGAAGTGGAAATAATTCGGAATTCTCTTTATATAATAAGGAAGAAATCATAAATAGGGTTAACAAGATGTAATGGCATTCAAATGTGAAATATTTTTTAAAACAACCTAACTTTTTAATGATATAAAAATTGACATTTTGTACATATAAAATTCTAAATTTTGAACCATTATTAAAGATATTACTACAGCTCATTTTCAGCATAAAAATTGAAGGTACAATCTTAACTTACTTGTTTTGCAATATAAATAATTGAACAATGCTGGCGATGATAAATGAAGTTATTTCTACGAAATCATGTATAAATGATAATTTGCATAAAATTTATGAGACTTTGGTAACGTACAAATATGTTAAATGACTTAGCAAAAGTCTCTATGACGAGTTACTTTAAAAAATTGAGTATATTACAAGGTGCAGTGTTAGTAGGATGAATAACTCAGTTTGTTCTCTATATTTTCATAAATCTTTCAAAAATAGTTAAAAATTGCTAGAATATTGTCACAGTAATTGATGTAACGTATGTTTCATTTTGCTTTTAAAATGTCATGAGTGATTAAGTTTCTTTATTTATATAAGCTTATGTGATATAAGTAATAGAAAGAGCACCGAAACACGAGGCTATCTGATTTGTACGAGGGGGCATAGCCCCCGAGTATTAATCAGATTGCCGAGTGTTTGGTGTTCTTTCTCTTTTGTATCATAGTCAAACATAAAAGCACGTTCCCTGTTGACACAATATGAAACCCCGGCAAAAATGAGCCAATGAACGAACATCTGAATATGACATTTCTGTCGCTTTCCCTTTCTCTGCCGTCACAATATGTAAACCCCAGCAAAAATGAGCCAATCAATGGGCATGCTCTGGAGTGCGGGTAACTAATACCCGCACTCCAGTTAACGCACTGTGCATGTATATGTATACGATTTAACCCTGACACATTTTCAATAGAAAAGTCTCCAAACTATGATACAAATATTGTTTGAACCTCTTATCAATTGTAAATATTATGTTTTTTTAAGATAATGTAATTCAAACGTTTTGCATTTTTAATATGAGTGGGTGGGGTAATAATCTTGTGTGTCACGAGTGAATAAATAATAAGAAAGGCCAAACCTCATATTGTTCATTGCCAATTCTATTTTTATGAACACCAAATATAAGTTGGCGAAAAAACTACCACTCTATTACAGAGAAAGACAAGAAGTCGCCACATATTAAACATAACGATATTATACATAACGATTTTTATCCCTTGACAGGTACTCGTAAACTACCTTCCATAAGTCAAGTTTCCGAAGGTATATTTTTTAGGGTTTTACTACAAGGTCGATGCATATATATTGTTTGCAAAATACTAAAGAAAGCTTGTGTTGCAATTTGCTTGATGTCAAGCTACAAATACTCAAAACTTTAGTGGCCTATATCTCAAGTTCAAAATTGTAATATTTTTCTTAAATGTCTTTAGGGTTTTAAATTACGATGAAATTCTACCTTTGATGTATTAGAAAGGGTGTTAATGTCCTGCCAGATAAAAAGTGGACAGATCGTGACCGTGTTAGCTATGTTAACAAACAAATTTACGCGGGAATAAATGGTGTTTTATTGCCTCTATTATTATTTCTGTTGGTTTGCACATTTTCATATATTCTGATCAGTGGAAGACGTGTAATTTTGTGATTATGTTTTAAACATTCAGTTGGCCGTGCATTTTTATATATATATTTTGTTTTCCTTGAAATCATTTTTTTTTCATCTGAAGGAAAGCAACTTTAATATGATGATACATTTATTACATGAAAATGATGACATGTTTGTTCATTTTACATAACACCTTTCATGCAGCAAATCAGAAGTAAGTATGCAATCGTACCTATATAACATACGAATGTATGTAATATTTTTCTTGTTTATAAGAATGTGGATACCGATATATGTCCATATAGATGTAACGCGTTTACTTAAACAAGTGTGTATGTTATCTCAAATGCCTTATATTGAAATTTAAGTTGGCGTTCCGTCCACGGTATTTGTCTCAGTGTGGCCTATCCGATGTCTCTTTTTATTTGTGAATGGTAAAATTAAAAGGGTGTGGCTTATACAGTGAAGTTAGTGGGTTATTGTCCGGAAAACAATATGATTACTTAACTGATGTCACATTTTAACATTTTTAATGACCGTGTCCGTCGTCTGTCGTTTTCTACAATTTCTTTTAACAACCATTTTTCAAAAAAAACATTTGACAAAACTTCATAGAAATAGACCTTAAACTATGATGCATATATAGGTGACTCAAGTTAAAAAGATTTATAGCGTGCAGCATATCCTTGTAATCTTTTTTTTTAAATCATATGCCCCGCCATTGTTCTCTTGCCTTTTTGGCTAAAAAGGAAAATACATTTTTAAAATTCTTCTGATATGAAACTGCAATGCCAATAGCTTAGATATTTGACATATGACATTGCAAATGAACCTCTACAAAATGATATGTAACTCGTGTCCTTTGGTCTAAACTGGTCCCCGCCTTGGGTCACTGGCTTAACATAGACTTGTAAAGTAAAATGATTTAAAAGTCTTCTTCTAAGAAACTGCAATGTCAAGTACTTTGGTATCTAGCACCACCTTGCAGCCATGTTCATGTGCAGATATATAAGTCATGCCCCGAGAACAAAATTGACCCCGCCCTTTGGGGTTTGTTTGTTTTATATATACTTTTATTTTAAACTTCTTTTGTAAAACAACAATATAATGCCCAGAAATTAGATAGTTGGCATGTTAAGCTCTACTTAAGTTATACAAGTCAAATCCTTATGTTAAAAAATGCCCACTTTGTTTATATGAACTTGTATGGTGAAAATGTATTAAAATATTTTTGTTTGTCGAAGCAATGTAAAGAGTTTAAACATTTTGCATTTTTCATCACCTTGTCGTTTGCAACAAAAATTTTATAAATCATGTCCCTGGATTCAAACTTTACCCATCCCAGTGGTCACTCACTTAAGGCATGCCCCTTGGGTCAAAAGTGACCTGGTCTATTGTTATGGATAATATGTTAATACAGGCTTGCACAGTAAGAAATCCTTGAACAACTTGTTTTTTTCAGTACAACCTAGGGCTAATATATTCTAATTTAAGCATAATATTGTGGACCCTCTTGCCAGTTAAAATAAAGACTTAAGGAATATACGATATTCTTCTTTGAAAGCTAAAGGCCAAGACATTACGATTTTTTAATGTATCATCACTTTGTGGTCCTCAGTTTGAGGCCCCGTAAAATTGTAAAAAGGGCCCCTCATGATTGTTTCCTGGAAGTTTTAATGACTTTGGTTAATTTGGTGTTTTTATAGACATCGCACAAAATTTATATTTTGTCAATAACATAACACAGTAATGAATAGAATTATTCAAGGTAAAGAACACAAAATCAAGTGAATAAACTTTGGAATAAATTATTTCGTAACATTACTAAAGATAGCGTGTTTTTTTTTATAGATTTACTTCCGAGTTCAGAATCGACATTAGCGCGCTACTTTATCTAGCGAAATAACATTACTTAACTCAGTTAAAGAGAATACAGTTCGGTACAGCCAAAAAAGAAAGGCTTTCATACGGTTATTTATTTCAAACGTGAAAAGATTTCAGTTTATCAAATTATACCAAGACAAAACACAAGAAAAGAAAGAAACAAAAAAGAAAATGACAAAATAAACTCTTGTAAGCCAAGTTTAACTATTTCTATTTTTGTCAATAACATGCCACAGTATTGTATAGAATTTATCCAGGTATAGTACTCAAAATTCGTCAAGTGAATAAACTTTAGAATAATTTAGTTCGTAACATTACTTATTTAAAAGAAAGCGTGTTTTTATATATTTACTACCAATAAAGTTCCCGATCTTTACAATAACTTTTTTTTTTGGGGGGGGGGGGGGGGGTTACGTCACATCGACACAGTATAGATCATATCGCGACGTTCCAACTTTACTGGTGGAGGAAGACCTCAGGTGCCCTTCCGTGCATTATTTCAGGCACGAACGGGCACCTGAGTAGAACCACCGAAGTTTCGTAAGCTAGCTAGATATCTTCCTCACATGAAAATCCAAAGTTTATGTTGGGATTCGACCGGTGTGGTAAGGGGAAAGTGGTTTGAAGTCAACGACCTTCACCACTCGGCCACGTTACAATAATTTACCGTAAAAATATTTTAAGCATGTAATACATTTGAAATGCCCTTGATATATAATAGACATTGTTTCAATGAATTTGATATTATCATAGAATTTTATTCTCGGCTATACAACGAGAAACAATGCATACTCGTAACACTTATGATAAAATTGATAGTAAAAAATCTGCATTCGCCTCCCTAATACGGACCTATATAAAAACCCGCTGTTTTCTTGTCCAAAAGAGATAATTCTTAAATTTATGCTCAATTTATGGACATGGTGAGCTGTCCTGTGCATCAGTTACTAGGTGGTGGAATAACGTCCTCGCAAGATGCACCATGTGGCCATCGAAGAAAGGCAGCAACCAGTCCCATGGTAGAAAATGTCAGAGAAATTGACAGATGCAAGATTCAATGTTAGGAAATAACCTGTATAAATAGGGGAACTCATTCAATACTAAGGAAGCACCTTTAAATGCATAAGATAACTGCGCCATGGATACCCTATTTGCTTACTCTTCCGCGTAAAATGGCAAAATTTTTGCTTAAAATATACCCAAAATAAAACAATCTCGCGTTTGGAATATCGTCACAATCGACGAGACATGGGTACATTTATATGAGCCCAAACGAAAAACAAGATATGGGCTACAAAACACATAAAAAGGCCATATATAGCCAAAGCACAATGCGCGTAAGAAAGATCAAGTATGCAGTTTTCCTCACGAATCAAGGACCGGCTATACAAAGAGTTATCCGAAAGGTAAATCGGTCAATAGCATGTTCTACAGATGCGCTGTTCAAAAAAAGTTGAAGGAATATTTCAATAGACGTAGGCCCGTGACAGGTTTTCTGGGGGGTCAAGCTGCTGCATGACAACGTGTCTAGCCACAAAGCGGCTATTGTACGCGATCTTTTAAGGCAGGAAAGGATTGTAGAGCTTCCGAACCCGCCGTATTCCCCAGACCTTGCCCCCTGTGACTACTTCCTGTTCCCGAGTCTCAAAAAGTACCCCCTCACTAACAAAAAACAAAACACGCAAAGATCTTGATTCAGCCATATTCCAGTTTTTTAAGGGTATACCCAGAAACGACTATAAAACTGCCTTTAAAAATTGGATAAAAAAGTGCATAGCTCACGGAGGTGAATACTTTGAAGGAATCCAATAATTGGTTTGTTTGATTAACAATTCCTTGCTAGATATGCTAGGAATTGCATTCCAATTTGAACATCCCTCGTATTGAAATTTTCAAAACACCAAAACCTTATTAGTATAACTTGTAACGGTAATTGATGAAGTAGTAAAAAAGTTATTAAGTTGCCAAGTTACTATTTCATGTCTCCAGTTTATGTACTTTGACATTGTTCAAACCTTTTACCAAAAGGTGATGCTAAATGATAATGTTAAGGGTAAACACCTTACGTACAACGGAATAAGTAAAAGATATATGTTTTGCCCTTTTGTTTAGATGTTTCATTCTCATTGTAAGAATTAAAGAACATATTTTTGATAATTTCTAAGAGATGGCGACTAAACTAAAATGTGAATAAGATAAAATTATCCGATTTAAAATAAAAAGGAGCAAAATTTTGAAAAAAATGGATTATGTGAATAGCATATTACTTGCATGAAATAGTTTGGATAGTTCTACGAAAATAGACTTGAACGGTCTAAAGGTTAACAAGCGTCAATGCCAACGAGATGGTCCTAACATTAGTCCACATTTTTCTCTTAAAATTATTTACAATAATATTTTGTAATTCTTAAACATTATACCCTGTAATCAATAAAAGTTAGATTGTTAAAGATATATTATGCTCATCTTTGAGTGAAATATTTGTATTGCTGAAAATTGTGTAAAGCTATTTAATTATTACTGAATGCGTCTTATTACAGAAAAGAATGTACAAACTGTGGATGTCAAAATACTTCTTTGTTCACATTTTGCTATTTTAATATCAAATATTCTCCGATAGTTTTCTACATCTAACATGCTTTAAAACCATTATTTAGGCATTATTTAACTCATAATTCTGAGTCATAATGTGCCTTGAAAGTAAAGAACTTACAGATTGGATTAATGATACAATGATGACATTTTTCCTCTTGACATTCATACATGGGTATTCCTTTTTTCCATACAATGTCCTAAAATTATCGTAAATATTTCAATAAAACCAGAGTGAAATACATTGTAAAATAGTTATAAATATAGAATTGAGAATTTCTTTAATTATCCGTTTAAACAGAATGTCCTGATTTGATAAAACATTCATTAAAATACATTGTATTGTCGTGATTCATATGGAATCATTATCATACAATAATTTTTCAGTCGATTTAAATTTGACCAAAACGGGAATAAAATCGTTTTTAAATATGATTGTGTATTTTTATTGATATGAATGTGTTATTATTGAATATTTCAATATATCTCTTCTGTCCCTATGCGTATAGCAAACTATGTCATCTGTTATGATTAAATGTCCTGTTCCCTTATTTAATTAACAAAGATTGATAACAAGAGCTGTCAAGGAAGACAGCAAAGCTCGACTAATTAAAAACTGGACGCAGTAAGGGAGACAAAACTATGAATGATATTAATATCTTTGTATCAGTATCAAGAAAACACTCAAAAGTTTAATATCTTTGCACATCATTATATGCATATGACCTTGTCAATTAATGTTAAACTGACATTTCTATTTCTTTTCAATTGTAAAGGACAAAGATTAGAAATCTGAAGTAAATCCTTTAAAAAAATAAAAATGATTAAAGCAAAAAGAATTTGAAGATTTTAAAGTAAATTATAAGTTCAAAGGGGAAATAACTCTTGAAAAAAAGATGCTAGAGTTATGAACCCGGTAATGCATGATATGAGTAATGACTAAGAGCAATGAATTATTTGTTTAAAGCAGATACAATGTATAATAACAAAGATAATACTAATATATAGACCCTTTCATTTAATACCGTATTCAAGTTGTCGCCCTTGGATGACGTCATTGGGGGATACGGTGGACAATGCCGATACGATTAAGTACAATAAAAAGAGGGATATAAAGATCTTAATCCTTTCTCTTGTAAGATTGGCAGATTGAAATTGCCAACATTTTGTGTAATTGAATAAGATATAACATAAAAAGGATGGTGAGATGAATAAAAATGTTTACTATAATAAGATTAACGATTTGTTTTAATAATAGACCATATTGCTGGGTAACTGATCATGATTACCATTTTCGTTAGATTCTTAATAATGAAAATTTTACTTGGCTGTTAAATCGTACAAACTTGCTTATACCAGAGATATAGATAATGTATCTATGTCTCTGCTAATATGCAATACCCAAAAGATATTTTGAGTTTCAAAAATGTAAGGATTCTGTAGTTTCGAAACACGGCTGCGTAATAATTAATTGCAAAATACTGCATGGTAACTTATAAAAATCATTTTGATTTAAGCATTACTAAGACAAACAAGATATGTTTGTAAAACATGTATGCCCCCTATCAGCAGCCAATTAGTCATGTGATAAGGTTATTATGCATGACTTCTGACCCAGTGATCAAACAATTAATAAGGGTTATAAAGTATCTACTGGTCATGACCTTGACCTTTGACCTCTTGACCCAAAACTCAATAGGGGTCATCTGCTGGTCACGACCAATCATCATACAAAGTTTGAAGTTCCTAGGCCTAGGCGTTTTTAGTAAATTGATCAGAAACCGTTTTTACCTACAAGGTCAATGTGACCTTGACCTTTGACCCCTTGACCCCAAAATCAATAGGGTCATCTGCTGGTCATGACCAATCACCATGCCTAGGTTGAAGTTCCTAGGCCTAAGGGTTCTCTTATTATTGATCGGAAACCGTTTTAACATACAAGGTCAATGTGACCTTGACCTTTGACCCCAAAATCAATAGGGGTCATCTGCTGGTCATGACCAATCACCATGCCAAGTTTGAAGTTCCTAGGCCGAAGTGTTCTTTAGTTATTGATCAGAAACCGTTTTTACTTACAAGGTCATTGTGACCTTGACCTTTGACCCCTTAATCCCAAAATCAATAGGAGTTATCTGCTGGTCATGACAAATCACCATACCAAGTTTGAAGTTCCTAGGCCTAAGTGTTCTTGAGTTATTGATCAGAAACCGTTTTTACTTAAAAGGTCAATGTGACCTTGACCTTTGACCCCTTCACCTAAAACTCAATAGGGGTCATCTGCTGGTCATGACCAATCATCACACAAAGGTTGAAGTTCCTAGGCCTAAGCGTTTTTAGTTAATTGATCGGAAACCATTTTTACCTACAAGGTCAATGTGACCTTGACCTTTGACCCCTTGACCCTATAATCAATAGGTCATCTGCTGGTCATGACCAATCACCATACCAAGTTTTAAGTTCCTAGGCATAAGGGTTCTTAAGTTATTGATCGGAAAGCATTTTTACCTACAAGGTCAATGTGACCTTGCCCTTTAACCCCTTAACCCCAAAATCAATAGGGGTCATCTGATTGGTCATAACCAATCACCATACCAAGTTTGAAGTTCCTAGGCCTTAAGGTTCTTTAGTTATTGATTGGAAACCGTTTTTACCTACAAGGTCAATGTGACCTTGACCTTTGACCCCTTGACCCCAAAATCAATAGGGGTCATCTACTGATCATGACCAATCACCATACCAAGTTTGAAGTTCCTAGGCCTTAAGGTTCTTTAGTTATTGATCGGAAACGGTTTTTGCTTTCAAGGTCAATGTGACCTTGACCTTTGACCCCTTGACCCCAAACTCAATAGGGGTCATCTACTGATCATGACCAATCACCATACCAAGTTTGAAGTTCCTAGGCCTTAAGGTTCTTTAGTTATTGATCGGAAACCGTTTTTGCTTTCAAGGTCAATGTGACCTTGACCTTTGACCCCTTGATCCCAAAATCAATAGGGGTCATCTACTGGTCATGACCAATCACCATACCAAGTTTGAAGTTCCTAGGCCTCAAGGTTCTTTAGTTATTGATCGGAAACCGTTTTTGCTTTCAAGGTCAATGTGACCTTGACCTTTGACCCCTTGACCCCAAAATCAATAGGGGTCATCTACTGGTCATGACCAATCACCATACCAAGTTTGAAGTTCCTAGGCCTTAGGGTTCTTTAGTTATCACTCGGAAACCATTTGGTCTACGGACCGACGGACCGACAGACCGACGGACCGACAAGTGCAAAGCAATATACCCCCTTTTCTTCGAAATGGGGGCATAAAAACAACAACATAAATCTATGTAATTTCAAAAAAAAAAATGTAAAGGCATAAAAAGTAAAATTCTTTTGAATGTACTTGACTGTATACTATTTGTGTCTACAAAAATGCACTCTCAAAAAATCGTACATCACACCAATATTTTTAAGCTGGTAAAGTAATATTTTCAACTGGATATTTCTTAATTCATACTCAGCTTATCAAATATTTAAAAAAAAAAGAAAGTTGTGAAACACGTTCACAGAAATTCGTACTTAACTGAATTATAATTTTACGTATTTTTGACTGTGCCAGTTGGTAGGACTCTTGATCGAGTATCAAATCAGTAAGGCATGACCAATAATGTCCCTAGGATGATCCATAACAAAATTCGGACCATAAATATTTTGACAACTAACAAAAGTGACGGAATCTGATGTAATGTTATAACTCTAAAAAATGCACCCTGGTGATTTATGATATCACAGCCAATTAAGTGCCGCTTGTATATACAACATATGCACCCAGTTAATTAATATGTTACGGCCCAGTGGCGCTTATATATACACATCTATTTATCTATGAAATAAGTAACTGGGAAAAGGTGTCTATTTTTATAATCATAAGAATAGATTTTTAATATCAAAATTATCTTAATATCTTCTGGTGTGAATCTAAAATTATAAAAGTCATTGCCAGATGGGTTTCCTTCTTTCCGGAATATTTATAAAATTATATCCTTCACTGGTTCTTTGAAATATTTTTATACGGCATAATGAAAAAGTAAGTATTGGCAGAATGCATTCTGTTATTGTTCTATTAAAGCTTGAAAAACAATCATTTAAAGACATTGGCAATCTTATCACAAATACGCCGGAATTTTCTAAATGACTGAAAATAACAGAGAAAACTAGAAAATGACCATTTAAATTTATAATAGGCAATTTCAGTGTGTATGGGTGTTTATATAATATAAAAATTTGATTTAGTTACTAGCTTCTTATACTGGCATTAGAGCAAATCTAGATCTAATAAATATATTCACTTTGAAATTTCGCTGTTTCACTCCGTAGCGATAATTAATCTCAATCTTTGTTTTTGTATTTTTTTCTATTGTCTTGATATTGAATTTATGTATGCATGGGTAAGTTTTACATGGTAGAATCATAATTGAACGATCAGTATTTACGTATTTAACTTTTCAATAAGCTAACATTCTATGCGGCCTGCATAGTTTTATCCCCCATTTACGTCACATCCGGTAAGGGAAGTAACTCTTCCCTGACTGTTATCGCTTAAATGAAAGGGTCTATATAACTTGTAATTATATATATATATATATATATATATATATATATATATATATATATATATATATATATATATATATAATTTACAAATACAGTCTAAATTCAACAAGAGGGCCATGATGGCCCTGAGGTCGCTCACCTGTATATAGCCCCCTCCCCCCGGGCCAATTTTTTCCCAAGGGCTTTTATTTGTTTATTTGAACAGACTTGGTAGACACCCATAAGAAGATGTTTCATGCTAAACATCTAAGTTCTAGCTCATTGGGTTTTTAAAAAGAAGATTTTTTAAAGTTTTTACTATACACATATAGTTAAAAACAATGACACCCCTGGGGCAGGGCCAGTTTTGACCCCAGGGCTTTTATTTGAACAAACTTTGTAGATATTTACTAAAAGATGTTTCATGCTTAATATCTAAACTCTAGCTATTTGGTTTTTTTCAAAGAAGATTTTTAAGTTGTTGCTATACACAAAAAAAGGAAAATCAATGACCCCCGGGCAGGGCCAATTTTGACCCCAGGGCTTTTATTTGAACAAACTTTGTAGACACTGATTAGAAGATGTTTCATGCTTAATATCTAAACTCTAGCTATATGGGTTTTTTCAAAGAAGATTTTTTAAGTTTTTACTATATGCATATAGGGAAAATCTATGACCCCCTGGGGCGGGACCATTTTTGACCCCAGGGCTTTTATTTGAACAAACTTGGTAGACACTAGAAGATGTTTCATGCCAAATATCTTAGCTCTAGCTCTTTGGGTTCTTTAAAAGAAGATTTCTTTAAGTTTTTACTATATGCATATAGGGAAAATCAATGACCCCCTGGGGCGGGGCCAATTTTGACCCCAGGGCTTTTATTTTAACAAACTTGGTAGACACTCACTAGAAGATGTTTCATGCCAAATATCTAAGCTCTAGCTCTTATGGTTGTTTAAAAGAAGATTTTTAAATATTTTTCTTTCGGTTGCCATGGCAACCAGAGTTCTGCATGGAATTAAATTCTTTGAACAATTTTTAAAGGTGACCACCAAAAGAACATTCCTGTGAAGTTTGGATGAAATTGGCTCAGTGGTTTATGAGGAGATGTCATTTAAAGCAAAAGTTTACGGACGGACGACGGACGGACGGACGCCGGACGAAAAGCGATCACAAAAACTCACCCTGTCACTTTGTAAAGTAAAAAATAGCATCTGTGAATTTAATTTCCAAGTTCAAGGGGGAATAATTCTGGAAAATAGTCATGCTACAGTAATGAACCTTACCACACAACATTTGGGTAATGATATGAATTAAATTTTGTAAGTTTAAAGTAGATTCTTAAAAAATATAGATGTTATAATATTATTTAGGAAAATGCTATTTTCAAGCGGGGATAATCTGAAAATATTGCTTCTAAAACTATGAACCTTGTCACATAAGATGTGGTTGATGATAAGGAATATGAATTTGTTTGCAGTAGGTACATATAAAACTAAAGAAGTTATAGTAAAAAAAATAACATCTTAAAGAAAAAATCTTAGTTCATGGCAGATAATTCTTGCAATATTGGTGCTAGAGTTATGAACCGTGTCAATTAAGATGTGGCAAATGATAAGGGACATATATTTAAAGTATGAAGTTAATCCTTTAAGAAATGAAGACGTAACAGTAAAAATAATATTTTTAAGGAAAATTCTAAGTTCGAGGGGAGATAAATCTTAAAATAATTGTGCTAGAGTTATGATCCTTGACACATAAGATGTGGTTGATGATAAGAAACATCTATTCGAAGCAAAAGTTGATCCCTTAAGGAATAAAGAAGAAACAGTAAAAATAATATTTTTAAGGAAAGTAAAAGGGGAGATTAATCTAAATATATTGGTGCTAGAGTTATGAACCTTGTCATATAAGATGTGGTTTATGATGAAAGCATATATTTGAAGGTTGAAGTTCATACCTTAAGAAATGAAAAAGATATAGTGAAAAATATTTTACAGCACCAAAACTTCAATCTGAAATCTGGACGCGGACGCCTGTGATGTAGTTTTTCATCCGAGATGTCCAATGTTCGAACTCATCCAAGCAATTACCTAGACAAGTATCCTGCCCAAGTTTGATAATAATTGAGTCAAAAATGTGACCACTAGAGTGTTAACAAGGTTTCTCAATATTTGGGCGGTGTGACCTAGGTTTTGCCCCGAGTGACCCATATTCAAAATTGACAAAGACATTATCAAAACAAACTTTCGATAAAAACAGTAACCACAAAGTGTTAACAATATTTTTAAATTTTAGTCTTGTGACCTAGTTTTTCATTCGAGATGACCCATGTTCAGGTTCATCCGAGCAATTACCTAGACAAGCATTCTAACCAAGTTTAATGATAATTAAGACAAAAATGTGACCACCAGAGTGTAAACAAGGTTTTCCCATATTTGGGCAGTGTGACCTAGTTTTGACCACAGGTGACCCATATCTTTACATAGAAATCATCAAAACAAACTTTCAGACCAATTTCCAGGACATTTGGACCAAAACAGTAGTCACTAGAGTGTTAACAAGATTTTTCTATTTTTAGCTCCTTTGACTTAGTTTTCCAGATGAGATGACCCATGTTCAAATTCTTCCGAGCAGAAACGTAAACAAGCATTCTGACCAAGTTTGATTACAATCGAGTTAAAAATATGACCACTAGAGTGTTAACAAGGATTTTCCATATTTGGGCGGTGTGACCAAATTTTTGACCCCAGGTGACCCATATTCGAAATTGACCTAGAAATCATCAAAAGAATTGTTTAACCAGTTTTCAGGATAATTGGATCAAAATACTAGTCAGTAGAGTGTTAAAAATATTTTTCTATTTTTAGCTCCTGTGACCTAGTATTTTATCCGATAGGACCCATGTTCAAACTCATCCGAGCAATTACATAGACAAGCATTCTGACCAAGTTTGATGACAATTGAGTGTTAACAAGGTTTTTCCATATTTGGGCGATGTGACCTAGTTTTGGCCCCCAGTTGACCCTTATTCGAACTTGATCTAGAAATCATCAAGAGGAACTTTCAGACTAATTTTCAGGATATTGTAATCAAAACAGTAGCAACTAGAGTGTTAACAAAATTTTTATATTCTTAGCTTCTGTGACCTAATTTTTCATCATGACCAATGTTCGAACTTATCCAAGCAATTGCATAGACAAGCATCCTGACAAAGTTTGTTGATGATTGCAGCAAAAATGTGACCGCTAGAATATTAACGAAACAATGTTGACGGACAACGGACATTCAACGATCCTAAAAGCTCATCCTGAGCTAGCTCAAGTGAGCTAAAAGGCATTATTATGACTTAAAAGAATTAAAAGCCTTAATTTCTAGTTTTCTGATAACGGATAATAATGCAGATTCAAGTTCAAATCTTCATCCTAGAACAGTACTATTTTGCATGCAGGGTATTGAATTACAAACAAAAATGGCCTGTCAAAAACATAATCACCTTTAATAATAACTTCTTTATTGAATCATCTTATTGATATGAGTTGCCACGTGAAATATGATGAAATAAAGGGAACATATTGTTAAATACCTTGCTTTTGTTATAAATATGTGGTCCGGAAGTATTTTTGTCTGTTTAACACCATTTGAATTTCTGAACAGTTTTGTATCAAAATCAATCTTAAAGGTAAATATCAAATTTGTTTTTCATGACAAACCATACGGCCTTTCATAACTTTATACGGAATTAAATGGTTTTAGAAACATACTTGTAATTTTTCAATAATATTTGTTTCAAAATCTTCGATAGTCCATGTAAACTTCTCTAAACACATCTGGGACAATTCATTAAGCGTTTCTCTTATTTCTTCATCGACCCAAACTTTTCTCTGCAAAAAAATATACTAATATACATTTACTAACATACATATATAACTTGTAATAAATCGTTTCAATAACTTATGTGAATCATTTAAAAGCATTCAAGCCTCTTTGAGTCGTGACAATTACTTCTGTGATTTAATAACAAAGAATTAAATAATAAGAAAGAAATTGTTAAAATGTTAGTTTCCTGTCTACTTTTATGTACATTAAAAATGGCAATTTTCTATTTTACGTTCAAATATATAAGTTAATAGTTTATTTGTTCCTGTAACTTGTTAAAAAAAGGACATGCAAAACCAAAGCTTTGATCAAATATAAGAAAATAGTTCAATATGTCATATTCCTATCAAATATCGTTTATTAATTATTACTTATATCTTACTTCATTTTTTTCAAAAGAAACAATATTTTGCGTCGTGTTCTAATATATAATGTTAAAAATTCAATTTACTTTTCTACATATGTACACAAACCTAATTTTCAGTATCGGACTTCAAAAAAATAGTAACCGTGAAGTGAAAGCAATAAATTTACTAATTACATGCTTTTTAGAAGGAAGTGAAATTGTACTTTTAGACATTTACAATGAAAATATCAAAACATAATGTCTCAGTACACGACCTTTATTTGAAGTTGTGGAAAAAAAAAATTTAACATGAAAATTTTGATGCCATGATACTTCGTGACGGAGAGCATAAAATTTGTTGCGGAAAAATAAATCAACATAACTCAAACCACTTAAACATGCAATTTAATAACAATTTATATTAATAAAATATATTTCGATATTTCATGCAACAAAAACAGATATCCTCTTTCATATAAAACTAAGAGGAAAAGCTAGAAACTTACATCCAAGTTATCTCTAATCTGATTTACATCCATGTTCTCTAATTGAACTGGATTTTTTTCTGCAGGTCCTAGGCTTGTCAATAGTTCCCGGATAACTGATAGAAATAACAGAAAACAGTAATACGCAAAAACGTTTTAGATTTAAACTACAATTTATAATCGCATTTTCCATACAATACAATTTTAAGTTTAAATACATGCAAAATGTATATTACTGATGCGATATTCTGGTCATAGTTAAATGTTAACAAATATTGAAATACAAAATATGGTAAACAAGATAAACAAAGAAAAGCAGCGTCGTTAAATGAACGCATCCCCCACAAGTCCCAGCAACAGGGGCCAGCGGCCAGGATGACCCCAATCAAAACAGGTCAGGACACAAGGCAGAACACGAGATGACTATCACTTCATAATACATGAAAGGAAATAAAAGTAGCCGACAAGGAAACCAAAAACAATTAACTGTTTAATAGGTCAATAAAGTAAAAGGGCACAGGGGAAGGGGACTTGAGAAACGGGAAACGGGAGGGGCAAAACGTAATATCGAGACTACTCGAAATTTGACATGTTTTGTTCATTCAGGAATAAATGGTACAGGACAGGGAGGCATCCAGGAACGTTTGTTTGTTTGATTTGGTTTTACGTCACACCGACACAGTATAGGTCATATGGCGACGTTCAAGCTTTACTGGTGGGAAGACCTCGGTGCCCTTCCCTGATTATTGAGGACGAATAATTGATAGAACCCAGGAACTTATTTTTATGAAAGGGGGTGGGGCGATTTCAACTTAAAATTCCCCGATTTAATTTGTGATTCAAATTTTTTAAAAATAGGAAAATTCAACGTTTTAAAACAAAGCAATTCACGAATTGACGATTTCAGCTTCACGAAGTCACTTTTTGAACTTTAAGTTACCTAATTTCAACTTCATCTATTCACAATTTCAACATCGCAAATTCAAATTCATGAATTTACGAATTCGTCTTCACGAATTCACGATTTTAACTTCATGAATTCAAGATTTCAACTTCATGGATTCACGATTTCTACTTCATGAGTTCAAATTTACAAATTCGCGATAAACTTAATGAAGTTGAAATCGTTACTTTGTGAAGCTGAAATCGTGAATTCATGAAATTGAAATTGTGACTTCGTGAAGTTGAAATCGTGAATTCATGAAATTGAAATTGTGACTTCGTGAAGTTGAAATCGTGAATTCATAAACTTGTAATAGTAAATTCGTAAAGTTATGATCGTAAATTCGTGAAGTAAAGATCGGGAATTCATGAAGATGAAATCGGGAATTCATGAAATTGAAATGTCCCCACCGGTCTTTATACTATTCTCCGCTAATTTGTAACTGTGTGTTCATGCAGAAAAGTATACTTAACACCGGTTACTTTGTTAATTTGAATGCTGTAAAGAACAGGAACAAATCGTCAATAACTCAAATGACACTGACTTGTTTCTTATTCTTTCAGGTTTTCCTTAAAGCAATACCTAAATTTACCACTTAAATTGAATCAAATAAATCAAGTCTATGTAATGTCTATCTGCCATCCTAACAAATGCTCTATCACTTAAATTTTACTGTACTTGATTGGTATAATTACAAACAGTTTTAACTGAATATAAAATAAAAAGTTGCATAAATATGTATTTACAAGATATTTTTCTATCTGTAGGTATTGGACAGAGCAATTTCATGTTTGTTACATGAGGCCTAAGAAAATGTTCACAACGTAAGGTCCTTACTGCAAACATTTGAATCAAATGATATACGTTATACGTAATCAAGAAACGTACTAAATTATACAAAGACTTTATTACAAAAAGACTAACAAAGGTTTTATTTTGATTGCTGTGTAACTTACTTATTCCAAAGTTATAATAATCTAAACTCTCTTTAATAGCATCGTTGCCTTTTTGAGGATGTGTATAACCAGCTTTTTCAGAGTAGGTTTTCGATGTATCATTTTTTTCTCTGGCCAATCCGAAGTCTATGAGACGTGCATTCAGATTTTTATCTAACACAACATTTGAAGATGCTATGTCTTTGTGAAGAATAGCACCCCTATTCACAACAATAAAAATATAACAAAAAGGAAAAGTACATTATTTGATAACAAATTGCATTAACGAACCTCAACCGAGTTAACGAACCTCAACCGAGGTTAAGATATAAATCATAAAATAGAATTTGAAATTCCTGCATTAATCAGGTATTGCACTAAAATAACCTCAAGCTTTTTTCTTATCTATTTGAAGCCAGCTTTGAGTAAGAAAGACATTGGGCAAATGGAGTGAAAGAAATGATCTTAAATTTTGCGTACACGATATAAGTCGAGATCTCCATCTCTAAGTATTAAAAAATACTTCCAGTCCTTGAAGGTAATAAAACCTTAGCAGTGACCCGTGACAAATAATTAATTGACATAATATGAAAATGTAGTTTTAACAAATATTGGTTATCTAACAAAAAGAAATGTTGAATTAAACGTATAAAATTATGATGAAAAAACTAAAGACCTTACTGTAACATTATAAACTCCAATAAAGGATTAAAATATTATCTCTCGATAAATAATAAGTTACAAAATTAAGTAAATGGATACCTAACATTTGGTACTTCAGTGTGAATATACTTTATCGCTAATGCAATGTGCAGCGCAATCCTTACTCGTGTACTCTGCAGATTGATTTTCATCTTATCTTCACTAGCTTTACCATCTTTAATAGCCTTTTTGAGATCACCATTTTCAAAATAGGGAGTAATGAACCAAGTTTCTCTAGATAAGAAACAGACTTATCAATTTAAATAGAATATGCACTTATTTACGTATTCATTCACATAATAGAAATACATACATACACATGGCAAAAAGAATCACAACACCTAGTTCATAAACCTACTATTTAAGCATTTTCATTAATACTATAATTTTAATTATAAGCATACTGACATAAACCTTGCGCTGTGCTTACAGATCGTGTACCAATTGAAACATACACATGTCAGACACCAACCTTCAACACACTTTTCAAAAATGCATCTTTGTTTACTTAGTTATTATATAGGACTTTCAAAAATGACTTCAGAAGGATGTTTGATTGAATTGGATATCCATTTGGCGGATTTTCCTCTGAAGGCCATTGCAAGAGATAATGTCGTCATTCATCAACAATAGGCTCCAAGTAAGAAAAACCTTAAGAAACAGATGTCGTATTATAATCGTAGCGATCTGGGTTGAACGAAGAATAATAATATGTTTTAAAATAACCAGACATGAGGCGTTTTAGTTTAGGTGATGTACTTCGCTTACTCTTCCACGAAACAGTATTGGTAGACTTGCGTCAAGAACGGCGTAATTGAAATCTTGTATGCGGAAGATAATTCCACTAACTGGACGAAAATTGATGATAACAAAATATGTTTAAACGTGCATGGCGTGCTAAACATTTGGCATATACTTAATATATATCGTTAAGTGAATTTCTTCTGGTAATGTAAAGGGGACAAAGCTATGTCACAAACATCCTTGACATTGTCGCTGTGCCACATTTTGAGACCTATATTATGCCCTATTCTGCTCGTGCAAATACTTTATTTACACCAACAACATGAACAACCTCAAGACTATTGCACATGTGAAAGGTACAAATTTGACAGAGTACAAGAGTTTCTTAAGTATGAAATATCGCCGACTTTGAACACGCACATCATCAGGCAAAGAAAATTGTCCTAATGTTTTCCTAAATTCAAGTTCAAAGTATGAGAGTTGTTCGAAAATATTTAGACAAACAACATAATTTTTGAAAATTAAATGTGAAATTTTTTCTCAACTTTAATGTTACAAATTACATTGCAATCAACAATATATAACAAGATAAAATAAATAAAAAATATACATGAAAGAAACTTGCTGAAACTCTCACCGGAGCACGCGATGACGTCAACGTTTTGTTTAAACAATACTAAGTAACGCTAACTGCGTTGGTTGTCATAACTGTTCCTCGTCTCTTGGTAAAATTGGTGTAATCATAATTCGGCTTCTGGGATATTTCTATAACATAATGCGTCATCTTCTCTCCTATTTGATCGATAAAACCGCTCTGAAGTCCTCAATCGTTTCATCTCTTGGTCAGCAGTAAACGATTTGGAATCTATCTAGCTGGGACTCAAGTTATACATAATGTTTCTGTAAGTATTTTATGTGCCATCCCACAGACTTGCGATGTCGTGCATGTTTTTTTTAGATGTTCTGTTTGAACGGCATTTTTAACTAACATGCTCTACTATCAATAACTGATGGAAAGCCGGTTCTCTGACTGTCCTGGACATTATTTCTGTGTCTACTGTGTCTACGAAAACCTTACGGTTTGACGAAAGATAGTCCATGGTTCACTAAGTGAAGCAGATCAAGCGTCTGGATGTACGTTTTATTATCCCCTAGTTTTACGCAATACCTGATAAACGAGTAGAACCACTGATGCAGTTTTGCGTTTCCATGACCTTTCTTTGATATTTGTTATTCAAACACCTATCGTAAGGTCATTAATGAAGCACTGCCGTTTAAAAATGAGACACTAAGTGACATATTTATTGATTTTGGTTTGGTCACTTTATGACCCATTTGAATTAAGCAATTTGCATATATTCATACTAAACGTTTACAAATTGCACAAATAGAACAAATTAAGTGTTGCAATTCTTTTTGCTTGTGTAACATGAAGTTTTCAATAACAAAATAGAATATGTTTACGGTGTAAAATGTGTTTAGTAAAGAATTATACAAAACTATTACAACTTATGTTGTCGATTTATTAATGTAGCATCAGCCTTTTTAACCTTAAGGAAAAAAAACAACACGACTTAATGAAGCTTACCCATTTGACTTCTTAGCAAAAGCTATGAGCGGGAGTATAAATGGATTCAATAGTCTAATAGCCATCATTTCCTTAAATGAAAAGCATTTGGAAGAACGTAAGCGTAAAACAAAGTTTTTTCCTAAATGGTAGCGATTGTATTTGACAAAATGCTTTAATCATGAATTGAATAAATATGTAAATACTTAATTTCAGAACAAAAATATATAAGTCATATCATAATGTTTGACACAAATATTGTATAAAAGAAATATATATATATAAAATATATTTGAAAGACATAAAAAAATACCATTCGGGCGTGTTTTTCGGCTTGTTCATAGACCGTTGTTTGTATCTTTTTGACGGCGACAGGAATTCCAAATACTTCAGAATCATCTTAATAAAGATAATAAGATTGCAATTGTCAAACAATCCTGTCATTGCATTGATACTTGTTGAATTATGTCGATGCATGCTATTGACAGATTCCTTATATTTGTGATAAAAAAATTAGATATATGAAACACTTATATTAATAAACTAAGACATATAACTTTCTATCTTTTGATAACTATTTTGAATAATTGCGTCTGTATGCTAAAAACAATATTTAAATTATAGTTTAAATAATATTCCATTTGTGCATGAGAGAAAGACGAATAAATTTTTCCATAAATAAGCCACGTGCATGACCATGACTTTTTAAAATGATGTCTATGTTTGGCATGACAAAAAAGTTCACGACTTCACCTTTAGAAATTTTTTTCAAAAAAAGCTTTTAAAAACAAAAACAGGGTTTTGGCCGAACAAAATTTTTTTTTAATTTTCTCTAAACTGTAATATGACCCTTTTTTTTTAACAAAGGGACGAGGGTTTTTGCGCAGGATAAACCATCTCATTATACTACACAATTGTTCAAAATTATTCTAATTACTTTGATGCATGAGAGAATGATGATGATGCATGACTGAGTGATGGGCCAGTCAAAAATGATATTTTCGAACAATAAAGACCGTATTGAAAATTTTATAATCTGTAGCTTCATCTTATTCTAATTATTGGCTTTCATGTTTTCAATTTGTTCTATTTTTAGCCAAAAAATCTTGACCCGTTTGACCCTTAAACTTGTTATATGATCCAAGACTGACAGTTTATAATATGAAATTTAATTATTCTATGTCCTTAAAATATTTTGTAATGAATCTTTTATTACTTTTTTTTTGTTTTGAAAACTTAATATCAAAATCTACGTAGAATATAATTTATCATACGGTTAAGATAATCAAATGGTTCATTCGGTATGGCATACTGCTGTAACATATGAATCCGGTGATATGGAAAGGAGGTTATACTTACTGCTACGATATACTTGACCAAAAGCACCTCCTCCTATAGCCATCTCATATAATGATCTTCCTAATGTATCAGTCTGGATTCCTGTTAGTTGTATTAATCGACCATCAAACTTGAATGATTCTTTTTTGATTCCTTGCAGTTTAAAAAGTTGTTTTCTAAAAATAATTTGACCAACAAAAAATGTTGGGACAGTTTTTATAAATAATCCCAAAACAATGTAATTACAAACATATTGTCAAAATAGGCATATCAAATAGGTATCTCTATAGAATCTGCAATGGACAAATCTATAACGTTACACTACCATAATGTAGCTTTAAAAGTAAAGAAAAAATAATTTCCAAGAATGGCCCTAGTAAGTTTACAATATTTTGAAATTGATTGAAAAGTATGAAGTAAATTAGAGTTTCCAAAAGCATTCATACTGTGTGTTGTAAAATACTTTACATTTTTTACAAATAAGCTGGCCATAGATTGTCAATTTAATAGCTATCAAATATAAATTGTGTTTCTCTTCAAAGAAACTAAACTGACTTGATCAGTAATAGGAAAAGAAGCTTCCCAAACATATCTTGTAAATTCTCCCATTCTAATTAGACAACTGCAGTAATAATTTCATAGACTTCAATAATATAGTTTGCAGTAAAATAACTTCACCCATAAATGAGCATAGTTAACCTTTAAGTAGTATGTTTTGAAATTTTACTGCCTGTAAAAGATCGACATTTTACATATTTTGATCAAATTAATAATAAATGACATTTATATGTACCAAATTTGCCTAAAAGGGAAAGCAAAGTTAATTTCAAATACTATTGACTGTAACAGATTACTTATAAATAGATATCAATTCTGAGTGCATTGATGTAGAATAATGCACGGTTTGAGTTCAAATGCGTAGTAATATAATCACGAAGGCCGATAGGCCTGAGTGATTAATTACAAAGCATTTGAACGAAAAACGTGCATTATTATACAATAATGCACGAAAAAATAATACATATTACCATTCTTAAATAAATATAAATAAAAAATATAATTATTATTATAAAGTTCGACTTTATGTTTGGTGGTTAAATTTGTTTTCGATAGAAACGTTCTTTAAAGGCTGATCCAATGGGTTGAAAAAAACTATTCCTTAGTCAAGTCTTTAAATCTACCGTGTGTAAAAACATTTTGAGAATAACGAATTTTGAAAACGTTGATAAAACTTTGTTTGTTTATTTTATTTCACTCTATAATTTTTCAAGCGAAAAACAAATTATTAAAACTGAAATAAATTTAAAACTTAACTCGTTTGCGACATTAAAATAGCGTACTTGATTTGATTGTTTTGCACGTGTTGTTTGGCGCTACATTGTGACGTCACGTAAACAACACTTTAAACGTCTGTACAGCGTTAACGACTGAATTAAAGATATTGATGTTCGGATTTAATTTTTTCTTTCATTCTAGATAGTTGTCACAACAAAAATCGACAAAAAATTGTTTTAATTTATCAGATTTTTTAAACAAAATGGCGCCCTCAATGTGAAAATACACAGGGAGATAATCAGAACGGCGAGTGCATTGTTGTAACATAATGCACGCTTCGGGCCTTATTTGTTTATATAGAAAATTGTCCGATATGTTACTAGAATAATATACAACATCCTATGAATGATCTAAACCTATAATCTCAAAAATGAAGGCACAAAGGCATTTCACTTCATGCAAAATAGAAATGGGCAGCTCTAACATTTGGATAATCCAAGATAAGAAGAATTTCAAAACAAATTTGCTAAAAAAGGGGCATAACTCTATCATTAATGATTTGATTACAGTGAAATATGTATTTAAACTGTGTCTTGATATAACATACTTGCCAAATATGTACACAAAAGTTTAAATTTTTCAGAAGTTATCTAGCGTAAACCAATAATTCATAGGAAACTTGCTTAAAATGAGCATAACAGAATCAATAATGACTCGATTGCAGCGAAAACAGAACTAACCTAAATATTTTATATAAAAGGTACATGCCAAATATTATCACATCATTGATTTACTTCAAAAAAAATCCTGCGACAACTAATGGTATACGGACTGACAACGCCGTACCAAATACGTCCGAAAGTCTTCGAGGGTACGTAGTTAGTTACAGATTATTGCAGGCTAATTTGATAAAATGAAGACATTTACTTTACCTTGCAGCCAGCACTGCATTAGATCTCTGTAAGTAACACAGTGTCTTTTACCTCTACAGTCGCAGCGATTTTCCCAGTCTTGGTTTTCTACTAGGGGAAACATGCATTGATTTGAGAAGACATTTGACTGACAACATTTTACGAACATTTCAATATTGCATTTATTCCTAATGACTGATTCCAGCATCTCAATAACTTTTTGTTTCAGTTCAATGCACAGAGCGGAACATGGGAGTTTTCCATCTGAACTGTACCGGGTGACCCATATCTGGATAACATGATCATGATGAAAAATATTGAGATCATGATTATCCTTCTTAAGATTGAAAATTGCGCCTTTATAAAAAACCACTGGCATTGATCCTTTGTAAACCAATTCCCATTTTTTAATGCAGGCGGCTAAAAATTTGTTGAAAATGACATCTGGTAAAAACCTTTCTTCAGTTTTTTTGCATGTTGTAAAACAGAGTTTACTGGAATACTTGCAATCTTCTGTATCAACGGTTGAAGTTATTTCTTCTGGTGGACTATTCGTCAGCTTCATTGGCACAAAGAATAGGTTTCTAGCCTAAAAGAAAGAAATACATTTTTAAAAGTAAAGTTGTTGTATGTGTATAAAATAAATTAATTGATCCATCTTAAGATATTTTATTCTTTTCAGCCTATACCTTTCTGTAATTATTATCCTTTAACTGTTTGGACAAGTCTACATTTATTAAGTGACCCAGAGATTAAGCTGGTTTTTCACCAATCGTGTAATTTTGTAGAAGACTCAATACTGCATGTGAAAAATATATATGTTCTGTGCATTGCACTTTCGGAAAAAGGTCGATAATGTCCTAATTTTACTAAGAACTTTAAAAAAACATATTCAAAATCCACCTAATGGTCTTACAGTTCTAATGTAAATCTGCCAATTAATAAAGAACATTATGTTGATACGTATGGTTGCGAAACAAGAACGACCGGACAGCAAATTGTCGTCGTAAAGGCTTTCTCCGGAGCATTTTGTGGTCAGGTGTGCAAAAAAAGCTAAAAAATGAAATCCTTTTTTACTGATTGCTAAGATAAGATTTATATATTTTTACCTACTTTTTGATATAACAAAATTCTCTAAACCTTGTTTTTTTTCATATAAAATTTATATGTGCTTGATTAATTTCAATTGAGCCCATTTCCCTTAAACGTTACACGATCTAGGCAAAGATGGTTTTGAGAAAATAAATTTTAGAATATTTCGTTTTTTTAAAATTTATTTTTTAAGGTAAAATAACATTTAAAATTTACGAAAAAAAAGTTACTTTTCCTTTCATATTTATTAATTTTACCTCTAGTTTTTGATTATTGTTTTAGAATAACAATTAAGCACTTTTAAAATTAAATTGCTAAATTTGATGTTTAAAAAAATTGATAACTCTACACAGTCTTTTAAATATTAAAAAACATATTTTAGCTTCATTTAAAGAAAATATGTTATGTTTTAAAAACTAAACACTATTTGGGTCACATATAAAATATAGTTATTTTAAAACTGGGGTTTTTTTTAAAAAAACCCAAATTCACTTCCCTTTAAAAGGAATTCTGCTTTAAAACAAAAATTTGAAAACTTTTTTACTGGAATTTAAAACATATAGGAAGGATTTCATGGATCTAAATACATTTCTGTGATAAGAATATTTTACTCAAAGATAAGTAAAGTATATCTTTAAATTTTTACCTGAATTTCGTTGCTTTCCTCAAAGTGTGGTTTAGCAATTAATCCTAAAATCTCCAGGTATTCCAGTAGTAAGGCTTTATTAGATTTGAAATGGTTTATGTTGTCATCTTCTGTCCATATTGCATCTACCCCAATATAAAGAGTAATAAGTTTTGTAATTATCTACTTATAATTGTTGTTTATGGTCATTGTCATGGTCAATTATCTATGTGCTATAAAAAGTAAAATAATGTATTAAAAGTGTATCTTATTCTTTGATTCTAAGAAAGTTGTGCGAATCGATAAAATTTGAAAACATATATAATTATCTAAGATTTATTCTCCTGCTAATCAAAGAAACATTTGGTAAAGTTGCTTAACTTAGTTGTAATTATTATTTTACCAACAGCAATATACACTGACATTCAACAATTTCAACAATACCTTTACACGTAATGAAAATATTATTTTTCTGTTTTTTTGTTTGGGTTTTTTTTTTCCAAAACACTTTAATCAAAATGAATGGAAAAAGAAAAACACCTCGGGGGTTTTTCAAACTTTAAGTAACCCATCTAACTGCTGGAGCTAGGAATTTAAAAATAAGCACCCAGTAATTTTTTACGATACAAGGGATAAAAGGGGGGTTTTTTTTAACCCCCCAAAAAAAACCTCAGCCACAAAGGGGGGAATTTGTTTTCAAAACATTTTTCCCAATTTTCTTCTAGACCTTTAGCTTTCAGGGACATCATTCAACCAAAACTTATTGGTCTACAACAAGCTTCAAATAAGAATTGAGGTCTGGGTATTTAAGTGTTCATGGAGACTCTTTTGATAAAGGGTAACAAGAGCCAAATCCGGATTTACTTTTTCACTTTTTCTTAAAGCCAATAAATGCAAGATAAAAACAAATCTTTAAAAACAAGAACACGATTATTTTTTCATTTATATGGTGGATGATTTGTGCCATTTGTGATTTCGCCCCGCGAGAATTAACAAGTTAAAATGGCGGGGGCGCGGAGCGAAAACACACTAATTAGCGGGGAGTCGGAGCAAAGATAAAGTAATAGCGCGGGCGCGGGCGATTTTTATGTTATAAAACGACGTGGACACGGAGCTAAAACACGCTATTTAGCATTAGCGTGTTTTCGTTCCGCGCCTCCGCCATTTAAACTTGTTAATTATGGACTTTTCGCTTGGCGGGATCGCGGGATAAAAACACGCTTATAAGCGGAGGCGCCGGGCGAAGTTTTATTAATTAACTTCGCTCCTGCTTATTAGCGTCTTTTCGTCACACGACCTCTTTTATTAAACTTCGCCCCGCGCCTCCCCTAAATAGCGTGTTTTCGTCCCGCGAACCCGCCCTTTCATTTCTTAAATCTCGCTCCGCGCCCAGATAGTCACAATTATATATGTCGAAGAATGTATCATTTCCATAATGTTCAATTTTACACATGATTATTATAAATTTATTATGTCTAAATTTTATAGTTGTTAATCAAAAGATTGGAAAATTCCATTAAATCAATGCCATATGTTAATACATGCATTTTCAATTAATTAGTGCATGTAATGTCGCCGGAGAATTATACACAATCTAAAAATCATTTTGATTATTTTAGTTTGAAAATTGACGTATGCTTAAAATCACATATATAAAATTCAATACGCCCAAGGGTCTTAAAATGTTCAAAGGATGATAAAAGACATGTCCGTTACCGTCGCTGCCCGACGGTGCTATAAATACAATCGACTTCTATCAAAAATACCACCATATTGTTGTAATAATGTTTATTTTCTTAAATTTGGACAGAAAACTTATACAAATATACAAAATTTTGTTCATTTTATGAAATATAAAAAAGAGTGTTTTTCAGAATTGTTATTTACGTGAAAGAGAAATATATTTCCTTTCTGTATCTTATAACGATGTTTTTTATCCTTTGATCAGGCACAAGATCATTAGAATTCGTTGTGATATGTCGTCTAAAATATTTTTTAATGTTTAAAGTTACCTAATACCAGCACGTATCAAGAGCCAACGTAGAAAGAATACACTTCAAAATGAAATGTTCGTTATGACTATGATGGGTTAATACTTCTATATCTATAATGTCTAAACATTGCGTTTTAATATGAAAGATTTAAGTTTGACTAATTCACATAACATTTAGTCTCAGTAAATTGTTATTATAAAAACGACCTTAATAAAATTTAAGTGTTCTCACTCGAATTGTTTGTTATCAAAATTTGAATATTAATTTAATATAATAGTTGTGTATAATATTTATTACATCATTGATATTGATGACATTACAGGAAAGAATTTTTCCAGTATCTTTCAAAGTTGATATAGTTTCCTGCACCATTATCTGCAAAGTGAGGTAAATCCGCTATGTTTTGTAAAAGGTTTTCTTTTTTATACATAGCTATAGTAGGTATAGAAACTATGTATACAAAGAAATTTGTACCAGATTCTTATAACAGAAATAATACGTGTCTTAGAATTTTTTTACAGTAGACGCGAATATGTATGTATTATAAATATGTTTTGAGGTTTTCGTTATCGTGTTGTAACGGACAATTTATAGACTTTTAAACGAAATTTTAGGTTTGATACTAACTTTTACCGTCATATTGCAATTTTTCCGTCTTGATACGGATTATTTTAATTTAATAACATATCATACATCCAAATATCAATGATTACTTAAAAGCGTTATGAGATATTTTAATTTACAATTTCATATACTAAGCACGCCATTTAAGTGTAATTGCTTAGCTTAGTCTACATATTACCTTTGTTTAAAGAAATATGCAATTTGAAATATACACACATGTTACGTGGTAACGATCAATTAGCCTTTTCCTAATTTTCAGGTATGCCAAAGTCTCGAGTTAAGGTTCAGAAAGTTTATACGCAAAGGCTCAATGAGAAAAATAACGATCTATATTTGGCAAAAGGACACTTGCGGAGGAAATAGTCACATACACCTAGCCATCGTTTAACAAACAAAGAAAGGGACGCACGTAACAAAAATAGAGATTATCTGAAAGTTTATCGCTACAACAAAACACAGACTGAAGAGCTGGCACAAAACAAAGATGATCAAAAACCGGCAACACCAGGCACAAGTAGGTATGAGAGTGGACAGAATAATTCACGGCTTGTGGTCAATATTAACTTCCCTTTCCAAGGCTGTTGATTGTAAAGGGGTTGAAGCTGGCAAAAAATACCTTGTAAGGATGAGAGAAAACTATTAGTTATTGAACGGAAAATATGGATCAACAATGAGATCGATGCAAAGGCTTTAAAGAAAAGCAGAAGCTATCCCAAACACGCCAAGATCAAAAGCAGCACAAACGCTGAAAAGTCTACTTTATTACCTGAAGAAAGTGTACGTAAAGAACTAACCTTTACTACTGCACATATTGAAAAATAAGAGAAAGATCATCAAAAGCTTCTCTGAAATTCGAAATATGGTTGCCGGGAATATCTTAAGAAATTATTAAATGTTATCAAACTTAGGTTAGAAAACACGGATATGCAGAAATAAGTTATCATGTTCTTAAACAAAAAGTAAACATGTTCAAAGCATTACCAGCATACGAGAGGTTAACAGAAATAGAAACAAAATAATTGATTTTTTTATAAAATCCCGGCACAAAGTTGTCATTCACAGCTTTTAAAAGAATAAGACCGTCACATATTTTGCTAACGTCATTGATAACTAAAGATACGTGTTTGTGTACAAAACACTAAAACATGTCACTTACCCTTAAATGCAGCAAGGCGCGAGAATATTGACATTTGAATACATTGGAACACAAAGATGATCAATCTGCTGTCATTAAAAAAACAAAACCTCAAACGACAATATTGCCGTCAGCGAGTGGAATAGGATAGAAGTTGAAGTAAAGCGCCAAAAGAAATTTAAAGATGAGAATTGTCGAGATTAACATGACAAAGGCTGTAGTTTCAGAACATGTAAAGACAAAAGTAAAAAAGTTTTAAAGTCATGAGAATTAAATTTCGTTTTGGAACCAGACTAGCGTCACACTTCACCCATAAGTAGTGTAATAAAAAACAAATGAATCGAATGAACTGCACCATAAAAGCACGATTGTAGTGTCAGACACAACGGGTTATAATGCTAGCACAGTACTGACAATAATCGATGAGTGATGAGTATATCCCATATCACACAGTTTAATCCAAATATATATTGTATCAATTATTGTACCGATGGACCGACTTCCTAGTATCGCAAAAGAATAGATCTTTAATTTTGTTGCTTGCCATGAAATGAAGTTTCATGTGAGAACGAAGTGAAATTACTGGGGGCCGGTCATGGAAAGGGTCCTTGTGATGGTTCGGGATGCACGGTTACTCGTTTGACCGACGAAGAGGTAAAACCCCGAAAACAAGTATCCACGATGTGGCTGACCTTTACGAGGGACACAGTCTTCCGCTTGTACGATGCAAAGAATTCGATTGGTATTCATTTTATCTGAAACGTTGATATAGAACAATTGCCTGTGAAAACAATTCCCGGAACTATGAAAATACACGCTGGGCAAGGCTTATGGGATGTGGCCGTCAGTGATACAAGTTGTTATTATCAGATTTGCTTGACAGGTGCTCCATGTGAATCCATGAGAGAAGAAAGCATGTCCATCAGAAAACAGGCCAAATATTCGAACGACATTTATCAGGAAGGTGTTTTTGTTTTGGCATTATGTTGCGAAAATGGTACATTGGTAAAGTTCTTTATTCAGATAAAACGATAGTACAAGTGAAATTTTATTCAAAGAAAAATGAAGGCTTTGTTCCACTGGCCATCACGTGAAGATGTTATTTGAGTTGACATCCATATGTACTATGCAAGGTTTCGCCGCCTTTCAAGTCTGGAAATAACCGGTCAAATGCTAAGTTTACCGGCTCCTGATATTGAAACAAGATGGCCAAGAAGGCACTAGATCGCTCACCTGACCCATTATTTCATTGTAGGTCAAGCGATATCAACAATATCAGAAGTATGTCAGCTGTTATCAAAATTCAATACACCATAAAAATTACAACCCTGGTCCAAATTTATATTCTGTATGTCAAAAAACAGGAAAGTAGGTCAAATGATATCAAAAATATAAAAAGAAAGTCAGCCGATATCAATATTTGATTCTGCATCAGAAATTACACCCCTGGTTTAAATTTCAAGTATGTACATAAAAAACGAGACACTAGGTTAAACAATATCATTAATATCGGAAGTAGGTCATAGCTATTTCTAGCTACTATGACCTAGTTTTTCATCCGAGATAACCCATGTTCGAAATCATTCGAGCAGCAATTACCTTGGCAAGCATCCTGACCAAGTTTGATGACAATTGAGTGACAATTTGACCACTAGTGTGTTAACGATGTTTTTCCATATGTTGGCAGTGTGACCCGTTTTTAATCCCAGTTGACTCATATTCAAAGTAGTTCTAGAAATAATCAAAATAAACTATCGGATCAATGTCCAGGATATTTGAATCAAAACAGTAGCCACAAGAGTGTTAACGAGATTTTATTCGTTTTAGCTCCTGTGACATAGTTTTTCATCTGAGATGACCCATATTCGAACTCATCCGATCAATTGCATGAAAAAACATAATGACCCAAGTTTGATGGCAATTGAGTCAAAATGTGACCACTAGAGTGGTCAAGTTTGTTTTCAAATATTATTTGCTCCTGTGACCTAATTTTTCATTTGATATGACCCATGTTCGAACTTATCCGACCAATTACCTAGAAAAGCATCCTGACGAAATTTAATGATGATTAGGCAAAAAAATGACCAAAAGGGTGTTAACGAACAAATGTGACCGAAACCATTAGTGTTTACAAGATTTTTCCATTTTTAGCTCCTGTGACCTAGTTTTTCATCCGAGATGACCCATGTTCGAACTCATTCGAGCAATTACCTAGGCAAGCATTCTTACAAAGTTTAATGATGAGTAAGACAAAAATGTGACCACTTGCGTGTTAGCAAACAGATGTGGTACTTTAAATTCATAAAAAATAGGCCAGTTTTTAAGAAACAATGCACAGATTAAGAGAAAAAGTGGGGGAAAAACTATCCACTATCCATATTGAATAAGACGAAGGTAAGCTTCATAGAAAAGAAGAAAAAATGTATTGTTCTGCTTCATTGTAAATTATCTGCCCTTGAATTTAACGAAAAGTCCAATTCAAGGGCAGACAACTCGAAAATGAGAACGGTGACCCGATTTTTTTTCCGTTTAAAATGTTTCTATTATCATATTCTATTTAACAGTTTTAATTTTGCCTATATGTCTATATGAAAACTCCAGAAAACGTCTTTAACAGTTACATTATAGCTAATTCTTTAAATAATTTTCAAATAAGTTTAAAAGAATATGTAAATGTTAAATAAAATGTGTTCTGGAATATTGTTCGTACTTTATATTACTCTTCTTATTGTGTCAAGTCTGAACAACAATTTGGCAAAATATTAGTGTTTTAAAGCTGGGTGAATAACTACATTCAAATTTAACTTTGTAGTTTATAAATTGCAATTGAGCATATTCAAAACGCAGGCCAAACGCATTCAATTACATTATTACGAAATAAAAGTTCTCTAAATATGGTTTTTTGCATGAAATGTTCGTTATATCTCACAATTTATTTGTAATGATAGGTGACATGATAAATGTATGCTTCATACGTTAAGTTATTTGTTCTAAAGTTTGTATACAGATTCCGCAACAAAGGCGTTTCAATTTTTATCTAAAACAAGTCTGGTTGTTTATTATGGCAAACAAATATAATCACATGCATTTAACCAAACGATAATTTACAATGGTTGACAAAAGGCACATATGAATTCAATAATAGTTTCAACGGAACGTTTGTAAACTGTATAATAATGTAGAAAAGGGAATATACCCTACATGTGAAAAGGACCATACGACACATGAAAAGTTCTTAAATGGGTTTTGCCTACTGACAGTTAAAATTAATTTCTTTTTTATGTTGTTTCTCGTAACGGACAATTCATTACGAAATTAAATGAAATATTCACATGCTTAATTTTTTGATGAAATATTTCTTGAAAGGTGGACTTTTTATGTTCAAAATGTTTGCACATAATTTCTAGAAGGTTTATACTTTTTAGAAGGTTTGCACTTTAATGCTTTTACACTTACATAATTTTCATGATAAGTTAAGAATTTGTCTTTTTACTGCAAGTTAGCACCATTTTAATGAAAAGACGTGACTAACTTAATTGCGTCCTGTGAACGTTGCCTATGCATTGTTGATCCTTATTCTCGATTTTTTCCTAGGTTTTATTGTTTAAGGTAATAATAAAATCCTTTCGGCAATAAAAGACTTTCTTGCAAATTTTATATCAATCAATATTTAAGGTCAAGGTTTTACTCGCATATCTCTAAACACGTTACATAATCGAAAACTAATGCTGACAAGAGTACAATGATATTTTGACACAAAACTAATTTAATGTTTGTTTACTTATACAAGTCTTTTTTATCTCAAACATATGCTTTGCCTGCTTTACGTATTAAACATATGCGATTACAAAAGTAAGTTCTGGCACTATAACCAGATAAGCTAAATAATGGTAACGTGAATAAGAAAATAATACCAATCAATTCCGGCTTTAATATCCCTGATTTCTCAAAATCTTTCCACATTGCAGCAACCGTTTTTGTCCATTCATTTGAACACTCTTCACCTGCCATTGTAATACTCTTAAATGCGTCAATCAACCATTGTGGATCTATAATTACATGTTTTGTCAAGCTTTCCTGACTGAAAAATTAGCATATCAAATTTAAGTTTGCAAGATGGTATAGCTTTTTCACATTGGCATAAGGCCGATTTCAAATTGTTACATTTAATTTGTGTTTCCTACCAATTAGTTTAACTTTCTTAAAATCTGTTCATAATAATTCTTGCAGCCAGGATATTTTGAACATAATGAACGTCGGAAATCCAATTAGGCCTTCTATCTAATTCAAGAAAGCCCAAATTTAATTTCTTTAATTGTAGCCTTTTTTTAAACAGTCTGCCTCGTAGGTTTTATATGATTCTATCAAGTTATAAAGAACAGATAGACATTCATCGTAGACGTAAGACGAGGGGAAAAATATTGCGCTTTCATAATTCTCTGTTGGCTATTAAAAATCCTTTAAGTTTAAAGATGACTAACTTCCTTTTAAACAATAGCAACCAAGGGCTGTCACACCTGAGCCTTAGATGCAACACACCAAAATGATGTGTTTGACATTTGTGAAAAGTTATTTTATAACCCTTCCATACAGGACAAAGTTACAATCTGGACACAAAAGTGTCTTCCACCTCCTAGTATGACCTTGATCGTTTAGACAGTGACAGAGGCATTCAACGCGTCACACCATCTTGATGTGATAGACATGTGTGCCAAATTATTTTAAATCCTTCAATGCATGACAAGGTTACAGTCCTGACATGAATATGTACTTTCAAGCTCTTGTGAGTGTGACCTGAACCTTTGAGGTAGGGATTTAGTCTTTAACGAGACACGTCGTTTGGATGGATGTGTAAGATATATATTCTACGTTATTTTAAAGTCCTTTCATACATGACAAAGTTACAGCCCGGACCCAAATGTGTGTTCCTTTAATCTTTAATTCGGAGAATGTGAACCTTGAAACTGTAAGTGTGACCTTGACATTTGTTGTAGGGACATCGGTCTAAGATGCAAAATATATCCATGATGAGGTATATATTTGTGCAAAGGTATTTTAACCTCCTTCAATGCATGACAATATTACAGTCCGGACACAGTTGTTGTGTTAGTTGTGAACATTTAATGTCTAAATGAGACTTTGACCTTTAAGGTAAGGAAATGGGCACGAGACAAGACACTTGGTCTTCATGTAAGAGACATTTGTGCCAAGTCATTTTCAAATCCTTCATAGCATGACAAAGTTACAATCCCGACACGAATATGTACTTTCAAACGCTTCTCTTGAGTATGAGAACATTTGAACTATAAGTATGACCTTGACCTTAGAGGTAGGGACATAGGACTTGAACGCAACATGTTGTCTTAAAGTGGTAGACATTTATGCCAAAGGATTTTAAAATAAGTTACAGCCTGGACACAATGTGTGTGCCTTAAAACTCTAATTGTGATAACGGGCACTTTCAAAGTGTAAGTTTGACCTTTGAGGTAGGACATCGTTCTTTGACACGACACATCGTCTTGATGTGGCAGACTTTTGTGCAAAGTTTTGTTTAAACCCCTTAGTGCATGACAAAGTTATCAAACCGTTATATACACTAAATATATGAATTATGTACAATCAAAATAATATATTATACAAAACATTGCAGTTAGCTTCGGCTAAAAAATGTTTTTAAGATTTGTGAAACATATTTTTTTAACATAAAAATCCCCCATCTTAAAACACTATATAGATCTGCCCCCATGGAACTTTTTTTAAACGTAGGGCGATTTTGACCTCAGGCTAATATATATGTAAATACTTACATTGTTAATTATGTTTAGTTTAAGCATTTTTAGTTTGGCGTAATGTATTTCAAGATATTTTTATCATTATATAAGTCTTTGAAAACATGACTTCCAGAGCGGTTCAGTGGTCAGGGATCAGAATTGTTGAAGGCCATACTATATTTTTACATATCAAATATAAAAGCTATTGGTATTGAAATTTTATCCAAAGAGCATGATTTTTATCAATTTTGTAGAGATCCACAAGGAAATGCTTCACATAATGGTGGCTTATTTGGAACGCTTTTGTGCATCCTGTTGGCGCGTTTTGTCATGCGGCTTGTAGACGCGATGTCACATTGTCGCTCTGTTTAAATCGAAGGATTGGCTTATAAGCCAAACAACAGGGCAACATTGCGACAAGGCGCCGCACCACACCGCGCCGTTTGGCGTGCTTCGCTAGAGATAAAACAAGGCGACGGCGCAAAACGTGCCGTGTCGCGCTTTGTTGTCCTTTCGTTAGCAACAAGACGAAAAGGCGATAACGATATAGGTTGCGTTGTCGGTATCGATAATGCAACGCGCAATGTACCAAATTAGCTACCATAACAAAATAAGTATCTAAAAAAAGACATATAAAAAAACATATAAAAGTGTTTTTCTGATATAAATTCGTATCTGAGGAAGGTCAGACCACCGTTCTACTCATCGTCTTATCATCAGTAACATAACTGCAAACAATTTCCTTTTATCGGTTCAAACGATACAGACACTTAATTTTATAATTCATACATTATAATTAAGGATGACCTAAACATTTAGGAAGACCAGACATCGGCTCAGTAACAGTTTTTATTTCATCCAACCAGTTCAAAAGATAAAAAGCGGACAAGATTTTGCAAACAGATATATGGATGAATGTACTGGAAGGTGCATAACAAAACAAGCTAGTTTTTGTTTCTGCCATAGAAAAATAAGGCTGATAAATGAAAAATATTTGTTAAATATCAATCAAATTTTAGACCTAAAATATAGAATATTTCCTGCTTCATGGTGAAAACGTAGATACAACTCTAGCTCATCATCTTCAAGTGGTGTTGGTAATGCCAGATTCAATTCTTGAAGTTTTTCTTTTCGTATCAACTGAAATAACATAAATAGATTACATTAATATTTATACTGAAACTGTTATGATTTGGACACGACCAAGTAACAAGGACCAGATAAATTCATTTTAAGTAAAACGTTTTGTTTAGAGATTATCTTGTACTTTAGGAAGCAGATTATTATGCTCACATTTAGGAGAAGTATTTTGGTGGATGGCGCTTCATTTATTCTTTTATTAGCAGGGTACGCCGCATCAGAAATCAGTTTTTGGTTTTGAAACGAATGTTACAGTAGTACTTTAAGTAAATCCCTTAAAAGCCTGGCTTCTTCAAGAACACTAAGATACGATATTATTGCTCTAGCTTCTGCACGTCGGCTATAGAAATACGTCTTATGTATCATTGAAGCTCAGCTTCTCTGATATTTTATGTATATCAGTTTTATATATATTTTTAGCTTCACTGGTTAGTTAGATGATCACCAATATATATATGGCAGCTCAACTTCTTTATAAGTTCTAGATATTGATTGCATTTCATTAAAAATTGTACTATTTATAATTTGTTTTATTAATTCACTTCATCACCATTTAACCTGTAATCATTTCTTTGTGCTATCAATTACGGGTAAACATGTAATCATTTCTTTGTCCGATCAATTACGGGTAAGTTACCATTAGGAAATTTATATTTATATGATATACTGTAATAAGTGGATGAACGCACTTTCAAGGTATAATTTTCTTATAATCAAAGGCTTGCTCGGAGATACGTTACACTGTCTATGCAATAAGCTTGGAAATATCTAGTTTTTTAAAACCAAAAGGACTATGTTTTTATGCAAACAAAGACGAGAAAAAGATCAACAAGGCAAAGGCAACGTACACAGGACACAGCCCCTGACACACCCCAGCTACCACAGCAGGGCACCAAGATAGCACCAAACCGAAACCGGGACCTATTTAAACAGATGTTGGAGAATAACTGCCTTTGATATTATTTTATCTTAAAGAATATTGATAATTATCTTAACAAACTTATTGGGATGATGATTAGGCAGAGCAGGACCGTCTGACTTAAATATTCGCAACTGAATTACTACTACTTAGTACTTTTTGCAGAACGATATGTTAATTTTTTTTAAATTATCATGTAAATTATGAATATAAAATTATACATCTAATGTAACAAAAGTATCTGGTAATCATTTGCACTCAAATCAAAGTGTAACTAGAGCTATCATTAAAGGTGATTCCTTACCCGACGTTTTGAAAATACGTGGTCAAAGATAGAGATGAAATGTCCACTGTCTTAAACAATAGAAAGTAAGGAGCGGACACTGACTTGAACTCTTTCTATCTGACCTTTAAACGGGGTTGTGACATATTGGTAATTCTATTCATATCGTATCATAAGGGTCATTATGCGAACTAAGTTATTTCAAAACAATTTAAAAAGCAGTTTAAAATAATTTGAGTGGACAATAAAATGTTTACCAGATATTTTGCGATCTGATGTACATTTGTTTAAGCAATTATAAAAATTGTGTTTAAAGTTTGTGTTTATCAAGCAAACCTTCATTTTTTCATCTTTTAGCTTCATGATAACATTTTCTAAAGTCACCCATTTCGCTGGAATATCTTCTTTCCAGTATTCCTGCCGAGCTGCAGCATCAAATATATGCTCTCGTAGTCTTATTATATTCTCATCTTCAACACTATTGTCAATAATAAATGTTTCCTCTGTCAAGTGGCATCTGGCAATCTTATCATCGAAATGACCATTCAAAGTTACTTTCGCTTTTCCTCTTGATATTCCCTTAAAGCAAAAAGCAACAATTTTACAGCTTTAAAATTGCTAAAATGTTTCACAAAAGAACTGTCATCATTTGCAATCCTTCGTTAATTTCTAAAACAGAGAGATCATTTGAAAACAGCCTCCAGAATAAGTTAACAAATCCAGAATTAGTTTGGCATTGAAATATACGATTATTGGCCGGTTGTATAAAGATAGCATAATGATTAAACGCTGTGGCCTCAAATGGTTTTTTTTTCATACTCCCATTGGGTTTTACGTATCCCATGGGGGTTCAGTTGGGCATAACCCCATTTTCATAAAATGTGAGAATAAAACTGTCGGAGGAAAAAGTATTTTTTTCTTAATATTTTTACATGTGTTGAAAATATAATACTTTTGATAAACTTATAAGTATTTGAGGAATATATTTTAAGAAATTTGCAATTCTCCCATTGGCGAAACTAACAAATTATGGAAATGAGAGAAATCTCCCAAAATTAAAATGGTGTGGAAATCTCCCAAAATTAAAATTGGAAAAAATCCCCCATTACAGCGTAATTGGAGAAATACCCTATTAGAGTGTAATGGGAGAATAACATAAAGGCAGAATTCATCCATATATTTTTTGCTTAAAAATCGGATCGGAAGGTTAACGTTGAAAGTTTTTCTATCAGCTAATATTCGGTTCCTGTCTTGAATGAAAAAAGTCCGATTATTTATTTATTTATTTATTGCGTTACTATGATACATTCTTATTTAACTTAACCGAACAAACAGGTTAACATTCACAGGAGGAGAAAATCACGCAAGCACCGCTATTGTTGCATATTTTTAATATCCGTGACAAAAGATATTATGTAAATTTACATTTTATTTTTTCATTGCTCAACCCTGTCTTTACCGTGGAAGGGATATAAATAGAACATCTAAGGAAGAACATTTAAATGAATGAAACATCTAACACAATCAAGTTCCAAAATCAAAAGAGATTGACCAATCAATCACCTTTTGAAGCATCTTTACAGATGTTATTATCATCTTTTAAAATGCATTATTGTAGATTTTTTCTGAAGATGAGAGTTTGTTTTGAAATTTTCATGACCCGTCATGATATCATTAACACATTTGTCAATCATCTCACAGTTTAAGACAATAAGAGCAAATAACCAACTATTTTCGTTCATAATGTAGGTAATTAAGCATTTATTATCCTATTTGAAACAAACCTGTTTTGTAAACAAAAGATGCAGTGATCTAAACAAAATGGTATCGTATTTTAACACAACGATAGATCAAAACGCTTAAAGCACAGAAAACAAAGGACAGGGATGATCAGCTTAACTTATGCCTTAGGATAACATATCATAACCCAAATTTTTTACATGTAGATAAATGCAATTTGTTAATGCGGCATATATAGTTGTACATCTGTTCAGTAATATAATTAAACTGCCACACAAAAGTTTATTTCTATATTCAAAATTTTACCATTTCATGTGACAAGTAAAATACCGCTTAAAGGTGAGTGGTCACCATAGTTAAGTACTAATTTTTATAGTTGATCGTGTATAACAAGCTTAAGTAAATTTATTTTTCATAATTTAAGCATTAAATCATCGGAAATTGCATAGGTATAATCATTATAAAGTGCGGTACCAAACATATGTAAGAGTTGCTAACCGTAATGCAGGTGCGATCCCAAACCGGAAGTGACGTACATATATCCCTATATAAATTGTCGATAGTTTATGATAACGATATTAAGCTGTTGTGTTTCCCGTAATATGATTTGAATTGACATGCATCCATTTGTGATTCTCCATTATATGTTGGAACAAAAGCCACCATCAAAATCACTTTTACCTCCAAAAACGACTATGAAATCGACGATCCTATCCCTTGTATGGTGTTCAACTTATGACGTGAATATATTGTTCAACTTTAGACGTGAGTTAATTTAACGAAAAACATTAAAATATCACTTTACCCCAACATGAATAAATATTTTAAATTATTCAGATGCGCCGCGCTTTGAAGATTAGAACCGCATGGCTTTAATCGGAGCCATTCGGTAATAAGTTTTTTCCAAAATACAAAGCGAGGCACATTTGAATATGGCAAAGCTGAGGAGGCAGTTGTGACTTTGTAAAGATTTTGTAAATGGAGTAAAACGGCAATAATCTTGATGTTTATTTCGCCTGTTGCGTTGTTAATAATGATGTTGAAGTTTAAAATTGACCATCATCGTGGAGAATAATATCTTCTGTGTCGGTGGATAAAAAGATAATGTGAAAATATTGGAAATGGAATAAAAAGCACTGTGATACTGACAGTAATTGTGCGGGTTTTTTTCCGGCGAACATTTTTATCGTGTGTATTATTATAGACGTTGAAATATGATTTTGTTCAAAACGGCTGATAATAAGTTTTACATACATACATGCATGCCTCATTGTTTATTTCACGAGAGGGCTTTTGTCCGCCCAGTCATTTCCACGGAAGACTTTTGTTCGCCCTGTCATTTTTGGACGGGAGGGGTTTTGTCCGGAAGGGCTTTTGTCCGTTTCCCATTTTAAAACAATATCCGCTTCTTTTGATTAATCCAACCGACCGCCATTTTAGAAGTGTCAATGCTGTCGGTCTAGTCATAATTATATACATATAAAAGGTAAAGGTCTTGTTTATTATAGGTTTACCCCTACTGAAAGGGCCGGCCATTTCTGACTTATGAGACACCTTTTGCTTACCATGTACTTACCACTTTGCCAGGCGCCAGGCGGATAGAAATTGGTAACCATTTATTGAAACTACATCGCTGCTTACGAAGCGGCAATTTCGGAACGAGTCCCAAGAGAAACATTTATCCTTCAATTAACGCTCCCAATGGACTCGAACTATCTACCTCCCAATCCGAAGGCGGGCACCTTAACCACTCAACTGTACAGGTTGCATATGTGTAAGTCTTCGTACTCTACGTATAAGGCCTTAAATTGTATCAGACTAACTGGATATTGGTAACATTAATGAATAAAAATTAGAATAGATGAGAAATATTACGATTTTGATTGGATGATTACCTTTGATTTCATTGACCGTATGACAGTCATTGTGCAATAAAGTCGGACGGGGTGTGGTCAGTGCAATTCTAATTTTCTAATTACCAATGAGAAAGGGAATTATTCTTTGGATAATAACTTAATTGGATTGCAACATAAATGACTGGCAGGTCTGATTGCCCCCTTAAAGTATGTTGACACCACTTGAACGTGTGACATGGCCCTAGATCGCTTCCCTGACCCATCGACCTTATCCGAGCAATGTCTTAGACAAGCATCCTGATCAAGATTGATGACAATTGAGTAAAAAATGTGACCTCTAGTGTAAACAAGGCTTATCCATTTTTGGGCAGTGAGACCTTGTTTTTGACCCCAGGTTACCCATATTCGAACATGTTATAGAGATCATCAAAAAATAAAACGTTTAGACCAATTTTCAGGATATTTGGATTAGAACAGTAGCCACTACAGAGTTCACAATATTTTTCTTTTTAAGCTCCTGTGACCTAGTTTTATATCAGAGATGACCCATTTTCGAACTCCTCCAAGCAATTAACTAGTTAAGCATCTGGAAAATGTCTGATCACAATGAGTCAAAAATGTAACCATTCAAGTATTAACAAGGTCTTTCCATATTTGGGCGGTGTGACCTAGTTTTTGACCCCAGGTGACCCATATTCGAACTTTACCTAGAAATCATAAAAACAAATCAGACCAATTTCCAGGATATTTGGATCAAAACAGTAGCCTATGGTGTGTTAAAATATTTTTCTTTTTTTAACTCCTGTGACCTAGTTTTGACCAGAGACGACCCATATTCAAACTTGATCTAGAAATCAGTAGAACAACCTTCATGACACATTTTTAGAATATTTGGATAAAATAATGCAGCCTTTAGAGTGTTAACAAGGTTTTTATATTTTTAGCGCCTGTGACATCGTTTATGACCAGAGAGGACCCATATTCAAACTTGACCTAGATATAATCAAAACAACGTCCTGACAAATTTCAAGGATATTTGAATAAAAACTACGGCCAGTAGAGTGTTAACAAGATTTTTCTATTTATAGCTCCTGTGACCTAGTTTTTAACCGGAGATGACGCATATTCGAATTTGACCTAAAAATCATCAAAACAACCCTACTGATTAATTTCTTGGATATTTGGATCAAAACTGCAGCCGCTAGAGTGTTAACTTGCTTTTTCAATCTTTAGCTTCTGTAACCTAGTTTTTGACCGGAGATAATTCATTTTCGAACTTGATTGAGACAAACATTCTGACAAAGTTTGATTATGATCCAATCAAAACTGTGACTGCTAGAGTGTTATCAACCCAATTGTTGACGACGCACGATACACAACGCACGACGACGGACACTGGACATAGCCCCATCACTATACCTCACCTTGTCCACTTCATGGTCAGGTGAGCTTAAATATATACGCGTAAATATTTTTTACAGAAATAAGACCCTTAAGAATGATTTTTTCTGTTTTATTTCTCTCTTTCTTTGTTTGTTTGCAATCCAGTTGAATAATTAAATAGCAGTTTGTGTTTAAAAATCGGCGTGTTTAAAAATCGTTTATGGTCGATGTTCAGTTAGAGCAAATAAATATCAAAATCTTGATTGCTTTTTAACATAAAATAAAAATTGTACAACACGTCAAATGACAAAAAACAATATATAGTTTGATTCATAGCAAAAAAAAAATACTCATAAGTATAACTGAAATGAATGTTAACAAAATAAGGTAGGGATATTCCTACGTCATCAATTAAAATGGCGGCGGAAATTACCGATCGCGTTACGAAAAAAACCGACTTTCTAAAACACGTTATTTGTTTTTCATCAAAAGACATCTAAAATCACTTTTCATGTGTTTATTGTAATCTCCGTATCAAAATCTTTGCCTATTCTTGACCACAGACCTTTAAGCCGGTGCTATGTGCTGGGCAGTAACTTG